TTAGTTGATGTACTTCTTTTTACTTTTTGTAGCATTTGAGCTGCAACGGGTAGAATAATTACTTGTGTCTCTTAATTGATAATTAGTATGTTTCTTTGTGCTATTTGCACAAATCATGATCATTGCAAATTATATTTTTCTTTACAATATGGTTCAAAAAGGTTTTACTATTACTGTATTTAATATTTTCTGTGGCAAATTTTGACAATATATCACACTTCAGTGAAATGCTGTGACAGGCCTACCAGTAATTTATCATAATTTATCAACATCAAGTGTATTGGGGAAAGCACAGTTGTCCATACCTGTTGATTCTGCATATTAATCTGTTATAGTTTTATATATATATATATATACATCTGCCTGACCCTCACATAATCCTCTCTTTAACTAAATTCCATTTTTATTATATCATAAAATGGCACAGTTCACATTCACAGCTAAATTTGTCATAATACCATCATAGTTTCCAGAGTATTAAAGGGTCTCTTAATCATAGAAAAGAAAGCCTGTGGACCACACTATGCTGCAGAATCAGTACTGAATGGCGAAAACCCCACCTACAACAGAGAAACCTGTTGCATCCAAAACCAATAAATGTTGGAAATTAAAATAATTAAATTAAAGTGATTTGTATTTTCCAGTACATTACAGTCCTGGGGTATCAAACAATGGACAGCTTTTCATTGCAGACAAATGTTACTTTTATTGGCCCAGACAAATGCACAAATAACGAGTAACATAAAATGGAGCATGATTTGAAAACTTTCCAAAACAGGATGTTCGGCCTGTAGCCCTTTAGTTGTCAATGATGTCTTTATCAACCACATTTTTATTAGTGGACAATTTTAATTGTATTTATATGGACCACAGCAGAAAGGATGAGCATGAGTGAGTCAGCTGGAGTTTTGGGGATGACTGGACAGTTTAATCTGCGTTTTCAATTATAAAGTTTAGTCTTTATGAGTACACATCTGTATACACAGTTGTTTTTGTTCACGATCCTAATAACAAGTCTATTAATCAATACACAAAGCATGTCTTTACTTGGCCAAGAATTTCTTTAGTTTATTGCAGACCTACAGGAAGTCTACAATCTGTATTATTACACATTTTTGTGTGTTTTACTGTGGAGCTGGCAAATGTCACAATTATCACTATGTGGGAGACAGGGAAAACTGCCAAAGAGTTTATGTTTATGTGAATCTAAGCAAAACACTTATCAATCTTTCTGCAAAAATGCACCATGCTGCAAACCAACTAACAGCAATAACCTAACCACCTACAATGAATGCCTCAGTCTCAGAAGAAAGACTTCCAGTAACTGCCAAGAAACAGCACTGATTCAACCCCACAGGGCAGATGCAAAAACATTAACATCTGGCAGTCAAAACACCTCACATTAGGAGCCAGAAGCCATCAAGCCATTCAAAGAAAAAATGTAGTTTGAAAAGAGTGGAAAGACAGTTTTTCTAGAAAGTTCTTATAACCTAATTTCTTAACCCTTTCTGAACATTCCAAGTGTATGAAATAAGATCAGTTGTCAGATAACAGTGAGCAGACATGGTAACATATAAATCACTATAAATCACTTTTAACAATATAAAACATACCTGTTTGTTGCAGCCTGCTGAGCCTCGGACCGTCCCAAAAGCACAGACAGGACTAGCAGACCACATACGCAGCTCCCATACATGATGATGCACTCCAGGCTGTATGCGTAGTAGAAGAAACAGTAATAGTAGTGGTAGTTTTGTAGTAGGCGTCCCAGGACAAGGAGGGCGGGACAGTGGATGACGGACAGTGAGAAAGCCCTGCAAGGGGGGGATGATGTGAGGCCTGTAATTAGGCACAGATGCTTCCCCACAATAACACTGCTTTCTACAAAGTGGGCACTGAGGAAAAGTAGACTTGGCTTCATTGTTTTGGTAGAGGTTTGTGGAAATGTCGAGAAAGTTGGTGCTGTTTTTGCAATTTCTTCTTTAAATACCAAATGAAAGTTTAAACTGTGGAAGGAAGGCCTGAAGCAGTAAGCACCAAAATAGGGTCATAAATGATGACATTCCAGTTGCCCAGACATGATACCTTTAATCTGCTCTGAAGTCAATTTAAAAGAATTCAGGAAAATGTGGCTTCCTTTACATGTGTTATTTCAGATCATTGACAAATATCTTCAACAACTATGACCTTTTCATAATTTACATTTTATTCCTTAAACTGCAATATTGGTTCAAAGCTCATAAAAGTTTATTTCATTTATGTCCTCTTTAAGTTTTATTCAGTAGTTCTACATTCACTTTAGTACAAGCCAGTCAAAACACACAATGTAAATAATTTGCAAAAGTCCTATTATTTGCACAGATAGTTTACCTGTATCAGAAAATTCACATTGCTAGAAGATATAAAGTACATACTTAAAAATACTGAGTCCAATGTCTTTTATGTTTACATTTGTTGTTTTCAAAAGACCTGATGGTTGTGAGTCTGTTGCCAAGCTTTGTTACTTAATGTTGATTCAATGGTCTAAGCATTTGCAGAACATGTTGTGTTATTTATCTCAGTTTAATTTGATTTATATGATACTAAACTATAACAGAAGGGAAAGTTCCAGACCAGTTCTGTAACCTGAGGATCTCTCTCCTTTACCACATTTCCCTTAATCCCAGGACTCCTTCAGCTCCATCTGAGCCAGAAAACTGTCTGTTTACCCCCCTTCAATTTCCTAAAGCTGTGAAATGTGGGAGTTTTACTGGCCCACATAGGACCTTCTCTAATGTTACAAAATCATTAAAACATCACTGCCCATTTGATCAAAGTCAGACTGAATGTAAAAGTACAAGACACAGTATCATGTTACAATACTGAAGAATAACACGGTCTATTGAAAAGAGGATCATGCTGAGCTGGGTCACATCAGGAGCTTGGATCGTATACATTGTCTGCTGAGGTAAAAGGAGGCTGTTAAGAGTAGGAGCATGTGGCCTTTGAACTCTGGGGAAATCTAAGCCAACTGACTACTCTAACCTTTAATGATGTGTCATTTTGAGCAGTCCATTCTTTTTGAGGGTAAAGGCATGTGAGGACTAGAGAATGGAAAGTTGATGACTAATATTAGATTTCCAGGCTGAATAGTTTAACAGTGAAAATATATTTTCAACTGCAATGTGGAGCAATTCTGTGTTTGTACCTTCTCAACATTATTACTGTAAGCATTCCTCTGGCCAGTGTTTCTTTAAGTCTGTCCAAGTTAATCTTTTTCTGAGACAAAATAAACAGAAAGCATCCAAACACTTGAGAATCTGTAAAGGCAATAGACCAGAGTTGATGATTTCATAACTATTGTAAATCTATGAAGCGATAAATTTATGGTTTGTCTGACAGCACAGTGCAGCTGACCTTAGGAATACAAAGAAACATATGTATACTTATGTGCTCTTAACTAATGCAAAATTATGTAGAGGAGATATGAACTTTAATAACATCTGTTGTAAATTAGCAATAGGCAAGTCTCAGTGGGTCCATAGCAGTTCATCTGGCCCTGGTTGAGGTTTGGCTGAAATATTTTTCTCTCTGATTGTATGATCATTTTTAGTTGTAAGAGTTAAATTATGTATCTCTGAAGGGCTGCTATTGCATGCATTGGCTTATAGTTTCTTATTATGAAAATGCATGAGTTTGTTTTTCTCATGGCTTTTTTCATTGTCTTAAATATATGTCTTCACATTTCACAGTTTACAGCATACATGCTGTAAAGATCTTGCACGATAATTTAATTTCACAATAGATTAGAATTGCTCTAACTGTTCTCTGCATTTTTAAGCAGTCTTTGTGTGAATCTAAGGCAACCTTTCAGGAGCAGTGGGTGACCACAGCCCAATTCCCAAGGACTCTTCACATCTTGATCCAGAAGTAAGTAGCTGGGGATTAGGCATATTTGAGGTTGATGGGGGAAACCGGAGCACCCAAATAAAATCCATTTATAGACAGAAAACATGGCATAAAAAACATATTATGCCATTTAAATTATTTATTTAATAGCTTTTCTTGTAAATTATATAATAGCAATGCACGTAACATGAATGAGTAGACCTATTGTAATCAAGCTTGCAGTTATATTACAGTATGTATCATTATAGTTGTTTAATTTATTAAGCATCCCATTCTGGCAAGCACGTTAGACTCATGGCCTCATCAAAAGTCTGGTATCATCGTATTTCTATGCAGTGTGCAGAATTACTTCGGAGAAGTTTATTGCACTCACTGTTATGGTGACACCTGGTGGTGAAAATAGTAAACTGCAAACATGGAGAATTTAAATAACTATTAAGTGTATCCTGATAGAAATGACCCATGGTGGATTGATGAATTGATAAAAGTTATTATTTAAATATTTATATACATATATATTTATATACATGGATCATTATTTTATAGTATATTCACACCAAACCTCAAATTGATCTAAAATGGCTCAATAATAGATTTTGAACCCTACATGTGTGACCCGAAGCCTCAGTGTTTTGAATAATTCCAAGTCACACAGCAGTAAGTCGATTTACGAAATATGTCCTCTTGAAATTGCCTTCAAACTTGGAAGATGTATTTGGACAGGAGGTCGGCCTGTGTTGCAAGCTGGTTTTAAGCACCTCCATGTGGTGTTTTATGGAACTACAGATTTTGTTCTTATAATGTTTATTGTGATTCAGACAAGGGCTTGGCGTATATGATTTATAGTAGGGAGGTCAGGGACTGTTTCAGGTTATCCTTAGGGACTTTAACCTAGACTATGCTCAAGTGACTCATTTCCTGTAATCTACATTTTAAGACATATTTTTTCTTCTTAAACACGTGCTAGCTTGTAAAAGTTTCTCATTTTAATTGATGAAACAAATACTGGTACTGTTAATAAATTTATACTTTTTCATACATGTCATAGCAGGTCCCACAAATGCACACTCACAGATCACAGAAAGCACACACAAACTACACATCATCATGGATACCGTTTTCCAATATACATATATTTCATGATGTTCATCAATATAATAAGACATTGATAGATTTTTACACTACAATTATTTTATGTACTTCAGTTTTTCATTCAACTTCCCCTACTTTAATAGAGTCAACCTTGTGTAGATTCTAATCCCAAAATGGACGACAACACAATAAATCTATCAATAAATAAATCAAGAAATCAGAAATACTATGTGTACATTGCCCATGAGGGTCCAGCCTTGTCCCTCCAAAAGGCCAGACAATCAGAGGCAATATTATTTTTTCTAAACAAAAAAATAAAATTCTATCCCACAAAAGAATCAAAATTTCTCCTCAAAAATAAACACTTTAAACAAACAAACAAAAAAAATCTCGTAAGATACAAACAACTTTCTGTTGTAAACCATAAGATTAGTACGCTTTCTTCAAAATTAGGTTAAAAATACTTTTTTCCCATCGACTTCCGTTCTTTTTTACTGTCAGTGCGTACACACAAACATCTCAGTGACATCTGGAGTTATTACAAAATTGATGCAAAATGAAAAATAAAAATATTTGGTTCAAAATAAAACAAGTAGAATCATTTGTAGCTTTAGTCCTCCAACAAAACATTCAGAGATTCAGTAGGGTCCCTCCTAATGACTGTGTCCGAATCATTTGGAGGCGACATAGGATTGTAGTGTCTGATAGTCTGGCTTTTTGAATCCAAATACACGTTGTAGTTGAATTAGAAACCGCCAAATGGTTTGAACACAGCCAAGTTGAGATCCCTGAACATTTCTCAAGGTTGACAAGACAATATTCTCCTTCCACGTTCATTCCATTCCATCAAAACAACAACAAAACCCAACAACAAAATGTGCCACGGTTAAACATATGCACACTTTTCCATACAGACAAGAAAGCAACTGAACCGAAAAACAAAAGAAGAGCACTCATTTTCAGTTTCACCATTGTTGGCTGAGCACTCACAGGACAAGTGGAATTATGGGAAAATCGTAGAAGTCCTACCCCAATCAATAGTGTTGTGTCACTTCAGTGCATCGTTAGCAAGGATGGCTAAACAGGTAACCCTGTCATGATTTTGTATTGCAATAAATCCCAATTTACATTTATTAATTTTTACATATAGTTTGATAAATACTTTTTTTTTTTTATCTTAATCTGAGGATATAGGACCCCCTACCCCCAAAACACCCCCATATTACAACACCAAACAATGCGGCTTTTGAAGCATTTATCTAGTTAAACTTGGCAGCACTATGAAGACAGAGAAATAAAGAGTTGTGCTATTAATGTGTCGAAAAAGACAATCTTCAGACCTGGGTTGCTTCACATCGGGTTATGAGAGCATTATTTTGGGTTGTCAAAGCATGCTCTTCACAATGATTTGGTTAAATTGCATATATTCAAATGGCACACTCACATATGGTGTAAGGTCCTCAAAGATACAAGGGTTAATCTATTTAGGGTCATTTGGACAACCTGTACTTTCTTCCTCGCTTGTTTTTGATGGCAATTGGCAGCATAAGCAAAGTATCTGGTCTTTGGTAATCTTTTTAGTCTGGATGTGGGGAAGTGGAGAAGTAGTTATAAAGGTAAGAACTGAAACACCTCTCCCTCTGCTCGCATTGGTCAAAGGAAACAACCAGGAGGCCTTCACTCGAAAGATTTAAGCAGTCTAATCTGGTGGGATCAACTAGGGATATTCCCTGTGACAGGGCTATTCTAACACACACACAAGCACACCTAAGAGTCTAGATCAGTGCACAAGGGGAGTGGGCTGGTCTGTGGAGCTGGTGGGGAGTTAAAAGGCTACGTTAGCTTGTCATAATTACTATCAGTTGTTTAGGGCACCTATGAAACAAACGAAAGCCTCTCCCTTAATGCTTGGCAGTGTACAACGCTTACAGCGATATTATATAAAACGACACAGGCCGGTAGAAAAGAACTGCAATTTTCTTTTTTACCTGCCTGTTTGACACAAAAATATACTATCATAAAATATATATTCTATTGTTTAAAAAAGAAAAAAGGCCTTAACTAGAAGGTGAGAGAGAATGCTACTCATTAAGGTGAACTGAGTTTAACTTAAACCCCAGCCAGCGCTATATTGTCTAAAGTTATTCCTGGTTTTGCAAATAAGGCTGATTAGTTTGTATCTGTGCTCTTATGGAATGACCAGCCAGAGAGCGCCATCAAAAACAAGGTAGTTTGTGCATTTGAGATTTCCTCGCCTGGAGTCAGCTACCACCCATCACAGAGTGGTGCAAGAGTTTGACCATATTAAGTATTGTAGTAACTGGATACTAAGGCTTTTGAGTCTATCAAGGCTTGTGAAAAAATATCTATCACAATACCCTTTAGGAATTTCAAGCCAAGGTCCACATTGACATTACCACAGTACGCGCTTATGTTGAGAAAATAAACCTATTTTGGACTGAAACCCCCTATTCTAACTTAGACCTATTTATAGATATTTTAGTCTCACTATGTGGTTATGACTAACTTTTTTCGACACATAAGATACTTACAATTACATGTGCTACAGTAAGAGCATTTGCACTAAACTGCAATGAAGGAATGTTCTCGAAATAAGACACTACGAAACATTTCAACAAAAGAAACATCTACAGACATTGGTCCGACTGTACTATGGCAGTTTCAAAATCATTTAAAGTTACTGAGGTGTTCAAGCATGCTAAGAGGACTACTGGGGAGCAACAGTAAAAGTATACCTGAATCAGACTTAAGGGACTGTGACTTGTCACAACTAGAGATGCATGTAAAGATGCATGCAGTATTCAAGATCATCCAAGAGAGCGGATTCTCCATAGAAATCAGTGTTAGTGACTGTCTCCAGAGATAAAATATGCAACAACATTGAAAACCAAGTAAGCCAGGAAAGGACAGATGATGGGAACATGCAAGTTACACACTTTGAATAATAGGCAGTAGTTAATGCTGAAGCATACATAAAATGAATACAAAAAAATCAAACTTACAAAATGCACACACACCGCACACTCACCTACAAAAACAGTATATTAGAATCAAAGTCTACAAAGAACTACATAATATCAGGTATGTAACAATTCTAGCCAATTGTTTCCTTTCCCGCTGTCACAAGTGTTTGGTTCTCAGTTGGTATGGCCAGCTGGAAAAGCCGAGAGGACCCAGAGACAGGGCCACAGTGACAGGTGTGGGCAGGGGCCAGAGCGAGGTGATGGGCGTGGGGGAGCCATGGGGCCCTGAGGGGTGTGGGGTGGAAATATACTGAGACTATAGAAGGGAGAGAATCAGAGCTCTACTATCAGTGATCTTTTTGTCATCAATTTGAGGGTTTTCTGTAGCAAGGACGTTGGATTAGACTGGGGTAGGAGTGTCCCTTCTTAGGTGCTGAAATACACTGTGAAAAGATAAAAACAGATGAGAAGTGAAGAAATCATATGAGCTCTTAAGTCTTGAGTTCAGTAGTCCAAAGCACACATTCTGAGATAATAGAGGCTGTGTCTTCTACCTCCCAAGTATAAAACTCTTAAATCTTACCAATAATGACGATGAGGACAATCACACATATCACACCCAGGATAATCATCATCTGTAAGAACAATACAAAAATCTCTTTAGAATGAATAAGATCTATACACTTATTTACAGACATCTTCTTTCAGCATTGCTGAAAATGTAAGAATAAAATAAAGTGAGAGCCATCACTAGAACATGAAGTATTAAAATTGCATGTAACTGTCAGAATAAAGAAAAATTTATTATATCACTATTCACTCATATCTGCTACATGTTTACAGGTCCGTACTTACCTTAGCATTTTTCCACCAGTATTTATTCTTGAGTTTAGCAGCACTGGTCTCAAACTGGGAGGCTCCGGCCTGCAGCGCATCAGCCCGGTCGTCTAGTTCTGACAGCTTAGAATCACGCTCCAGAACCTTGTCCACGTTTACACGCATGATATCCACCACCTGGACACAAATAGGCTCACTTTATCACAATCAACTTTGAGAATACTGCTGTCTTTAATACTACCAATGCACATTAAGTGGTGTTAACATGGACGACAGCACTTACCTCATCCACCTGCGCCTGTGTCTGCTGCAGACGGCGGTTGCTGGTGAGGTTTGGAGGGGGCTGATTCCCTCCCTCTGGGGCAGGGGCACCTGAAGCTGGGGCAGACCTGAGGACCATACATTTATTCACTGTTCCTGATATGTGAAATACTCATATGCCGACATCAAGCAATCATTTGTACTAGATGTCCTTTCTCTACATTCAAACATCTTTTTTTAATGTTATGTAGTTGTTACTAATTCTTGATGTGTTTTGACACCATAGATCCTCAGACTTGCTGTGAGGACATGCAGCTTGTCGTCTGTCATGTCTTGTTGAATGGTTTTCTCTTCACTTTCCTGTCTTTGCACACAGCACTGGCAGCATCCTTTGAGACGGACAATCTGTTTAACTGAGCATGTCATTTACAAAGAAAAAAGCTATACAATCTAGCTTATACAAGCTATACAAGCTAGATTAAAGATTTTTACTGCAAACATCCTGATCTAATATTTAGGTTTTATTAGGTTAGAGGTAATAGATTAAAAACAAATCTCCCATTAAGTATCACAACACTGTATTTCTCAGTTGTGAATGTGGTTTATGTAATTTGTGTTACTCCTCAAGCTTAAGTAAAAACTCAGTAACAAGATCACCTTTTTACTCTTTCCTAATCCTCTAACAACAAATCTGTTTGTCATAGTGGGCCGGATGGTGTTGATCTATTTGTTCTGTTTCCAAATAGGATATATATAGTATAGTCATAATATACAGCACACAACCTATGTGTAAACATAGTGCTTTCCTCAGAGAATGGGGTTCACTTTAGGATTATTGTTGAATATTGCTGGAGTAATAATAATGTACAATTGTAATATTTAAATGGTTGAAGATCTGCTGCATGTGCTTACAGGGTAATTAATTGACCTATTTAATAAGTCACTGACATAATAGAAGCTGTGTTCCAGTCGGATTATACCCAAGAAGTATTTTTGATTGTGACCATTGCTAAAGGTAGGCAGGCTGCATGTACCAAGCTCAGCACTGGAGAGCGACATTTCAGCACTGGACAGCTCCTCATGCCTGTTCTGTCCCAGACTGCACCTGACCACAGCGCCATAGCTCCGATTATTTACTTTATAAACCCTTTATATATTATAGAGTCTGTATTGAAGACAACTACATACATCAAATCGTGTTTGAGAAGTAGCACAACGGGCCTATAAGGAACAACCACACCGTGGGTGGGGAGATTCAGTATGGAGTCATGTGGGCACGCAGCTGATGCTTAAAACCTATTATTCAGAGTTTACGCCAACAAATAAGACTTGAAAACATAACTAATGCGGGATTAAAGTCTATGGTATTTGTGTGTTGTTTGCTATCATCTTTGCCTAGTGTCTGCTACGCACGATGTGACATGGGCTACGCGCTTACCACGGCCATTTTCCCCATCCCATCTTCTCATCATGCCAACAACATGTGCAAATACAAACTGATCGACATTTGTCCAAATAGAGACAATCCTGACTGAACAAAGTGCATGTTGTTGGCTTTACAGATGTCCGCCCTCGGACCATGAATCGACGACATACAGTAGGAGGCTAGGCTATCCCAACCCCCCGCAGTAGGCTGACATATCGCCTTAGCTAGGCCCCAGCCTCATCCATGGCTAATAACATTCCCGTGTAAAATAATATAATGAAACGTTTTTTAATACATGTACAAGCTTTGTATTGTGAAAAGGCCATTTCAATCTACAACCGTGGTTTTTGATGATAGACTACCAAAGGTTTGATAAAATGCCCTTGCTGAATTGGCGTAATCTTCACCTGCGGGTTGCTAACACAAAAATAACCAAGGACATTGGATGTGTGATATTAAAAATACATTGAAAAGGGCTGCCTTATCTTGAACGACGTAAACCACACATTGTGAACGTACAGACCGAGCCATTTCAAACCAGTCGAAACTGGAAAACTGCGTGCGCCTGGCTACGCTAAAAAAGACCAAATGAGGGACAGGCGACGGACGTGTAACTGTACAGATAATGTTATGTGTTTAGTAAGCAGATTTTATGTCTCTAAATTGTCCTTATAACACCTGCAGGGCAGTCACAACATTGTAACATTTAGATCAGAAATGCAATTCATAGTCGTGATGTACTATGGCCATAGACTAACATGGGGGCAGTGCAAGGAAAACCAAGAACCCATTCAAGCTCCGTAGACACTAGCTACATAGCGGAACATTTTGTGAGCCCATTGTAGATTTCTCATAAGACAAAGATCAAATACAAACGATAAAAATAACCCTTCGTCGTCGTCTGTACTTACATGTTCTTGGTTGGAGTGGGTGAAGAGCTGTGGTGAAATCCGGACTGGAAACGTTAGCGCGTCCCAAGTGCCTGGCAGATGGATGTGGATTGCCTTGTGCGCTCCTCTCTACCCTCTGGCACTCTTCCGCTGGTTATTGTCGCGTTCACTGAATCAAGGAGGAGCACCGTTCACCACAGAGATATGAAGCGTCGCTTCAAAAGCCCCTTTCTTCCTATTTCTACTTGGATGTGGCACCTGCAGGCTATAATAAGAGCCTGGCGCTGTGGCTGTTCCTACAGTAATGAAGGTGTAATAAACAGCGCCTGGATTAGCTGGACAAAGATGGCTCGGTGACGTCAATCGCGGCGAGTTTCATGTTGAAATGGGTGGTCGAAGACATTGCAAATATGTCTGTATGCTGTCCAGAGCAGCCACACTGGTATGACAGTGCTTGTTGGGGGCACAGGGAATATTTTGATCATTTTCTGAAAGTGTCAAAGCCAGTGTTGACTTTACACAGCATCCCGAGATGCCTATTTTGATAGCCAGTCTGCATGTCAACAAAATGGCGTTCGTAGAAAGGGGGTGTGGCGAAAGTCCAATTAAATATTGAATTAAACAATAAATGTGAATAAAGATTAGGTTTACCTAAAATTTCTTGCATTTTGAGCCATACTATCATACTGTTATCACATTGGCTTGGCTATGTGGCTAACTGATTATCTTATTTTGTATCTTATTTTATTTCCAGTGTGCTCCTCCTCGGTTATGGACCAATCATTAAGCTATCCACAACTTTAATAATCATTTTAAATTATTTACAGTATAATCAGATTCTAGTCCATGTAAACCTTTGAAGCATGTTTAAGAAATATACTTTTTTATTACTGCATTTAAGGGGAATAAAGGAACACAAATAGCCTTCATGTTGTAGTTTATATACCAAGGGGTAACCAACACGCCCAGACTGTCTCTAATATACTAAAATAAAACTAGGAAAATCCAAGCACATATATAGATCGCTGAACATAAACTGAACTTTATTTAGTTTTTTCCAAAGTGCGCTTACAGTATCCCATGAGGTATACCATTTTGACAATGAGCTGTGGTTACTGGTCAGTGACTGAAAGCATTTGTGAAAATGATACATAATCTTTCACTGGGTACATACATGAGCATACAGTTTTGAAACTTCATGGCACAAAAAACAAAACAAAACAAAAAGAAAAAATGTACTTGAATGATGCACAGAATGAAGTATGAAGCCTCAAGCAAGTCCTAAGGGAGATGATTCTGTTTTCTATTTTCCTACATTGCAATAAAATTTTTCAAAGGATGTCTGTAAACACCCTACATAGCATTCCCTGATAAAGCTTTTATTTTCACAAAACAAAGATTCAACATATTGCTTTCTTCAGATACCACATACATTGGATACTTTGTGCAAAGTTTCCCAATAAAAATCAGGCTTACTCAAAGTGACTGTGCCCACACTTGGGGAATTACTAACTGAGATATTTAGTTTTTATATTGTGTTTACACCACTAAAAGGCATTTGACTTGTTGGACACCATCAGTACACCCAGGACACTGGGACCCACTGAGGGGTGGAGCATGCACTTTCTATAGCCTCCTCCACACCTTTCACAGTTTCATCTACATCATTGTTGACCAAAATCACATCAAAAAAGTGTCTATATGTGGACAAAAGGGCATCTGACTCCTTCTGGATCAACTGCACTGATTCCGCCTTGGAGACAATATTAACATGAGTATATTTGGATAATTGCAAAGATTTGAAATTATAATTTGAACAAAATACCTGGGCAGCGGTAGTGGTGGGAGCGATGAAGACCACTAGAGGTGCAAAGTCTGCTGTCCGCACTATCTTCAAGGTCTGGTGTATAATAAATCATAATTATGAGTACAGTATAAATATAGTATTGGAACAATGTAGTCAGGTACCAACCTGTGGTTCAATATCAAGCACTGCAATTTTCCCTTGCTCATGGATCTTATAGATGGTTTCAAATTTTGTGCCAAACATATTTCCTTGGAAGCTTCCATATTCAAGGAACTCATTTCCAGTAATGCATTTGGTCATTTCTCTCTCGGTTGGGATGAAGAAGTATTCCTTTCCATTCTCCTCATCCATCCTCTGGGGTCTTGTTGTATCTAAAGTGGAAGAAATCCAGCATTCCAGATCTGAGAAAAACTAAAACAAAAGCTATAGATGCACTCACGTGGGGCAGGGTAGGAAAATTTTTCAGGGTACTTGGTCAGTAATGCATTTTTGATATTACGTCTTCCAACTCCTGGTGCACCTACATAAAGAACAAGATACACATATTTAAATCTTGGTGTAATTTATGATTCAGGTTCATATTTGGTTCAGTTTACTTTAGATTAAAACTACTGCTTACCAATCAGCACTAATGTTTTTCTATTGAAAGCTGGAAGTCGCACAACCTCTTCATATGAAATCACATCTAATTGGTCAAAAACTAAAAAAAAAAAAGATATTGAATAATCATGCAATTGTTGAATACATTTTTTTACTAACACTCACCAGAGCTGTGTTTAGCCAGATACTTGTCTTTGCATTTCTTTTTCTTCCCAAATGGGCTGCATGTTGGTGTTCCTTCTTTGGCTTTACTTTTGCTTGCTTCCCTCCTGTAGCAAACTCACATTATAATTTCTGAACCTATAGTGATATTCACTAAGCCTGTGCAATATGTTCTTTACCATTCTTGTAGCTCTGGAGAAGGTATAAGGCCAGCAAAGTCAGCAGCACTGCTCTCCACTCTGCCCTGCCACCAGTTTGGGTCCTGCTTGTTGATGATGTGAATGACGTCACCGGTCCTAAACTTTAGCCCCGCCTCTTTACAAGGGATGAGGTCATCCTTGGAGGGGTCATAGTCGAACTGAGCCCTCATGTAAGTCTACAGAGAAGTTCTGGCATTAGATATTTCTATTTCACTGACAAATGTTTCACAAACTTGCACTGTGACAAAAACTGCAAGTTAACCGGGTAATTTAACTTAAGAGGAAGATATGGTACTTTATACAGTACAGTAGTATTTTTATATTATTATTATTGTTATTATTTTTATTTTAGTGTAGTTTTAAGTTTAGTTGTACTAGTATGTCTTCGTTTTGACAGTTGACACCAGATCATTGTGTTTCCCCTTAAGTAAATTATCACAATGGTTTGTTTTCGAGGTTATCTCAGATCACCCTGGTGATGTTAGTATGCTGACATGAACTAGTTAATGTATTCACTAGGGTAATATGGGAAACCAAAATGTGTTTTTATAACTACAGTATAAGAGCCTTCCTTTTTTATCTTAACAGTTAAAAAACTGTACCCTGCCATCAGCGACCGCAAAAAAGATAGTTCTGAATTTCACAACACACATGAATTATTCAATCAATTCTTTGAATTATCTCTCAGTACGCACATTAAAAAAGAAAGACTTTTGTGTAAAATAAACAGTTAAAATGTGTTTGTGGCCAACTGATGGCAGAGTTAAACACTCTACAAAGTGTTTCAAACCTACACTTGAGTACGATTTCATAGTCACCTGAATGCTCATTGGCTAACAGAGGATGCACCTAACAAAAATAAATGTTACAGTAATAATTAAGCGAAATCCATTTATGTTAATACTGTAAGTCAATTCTCACAAGTACGAAATATCAAAAAACAAACAAAAGTACTGAAAAGTACTCAAAAAAGTAAATACTGTTTATCTGAAGTTTTACCTCACAGATCCGAGATCGACTCTGCTGGTTGGAAATAATCTTCAAGGTGACTGCTCCACTTGTTTCTCTCTAAACAGTTGTAACATACACATTTTCTATCAAATTTCAAAATATGGAAACCAATCAGAAACATTGTTTAAAGATTTTTCAACTGATTTTACCAGGACTTTTTGTAGATAATCTACAGAATGGTTTGCCACACTTTTCCCATTGATTTCAGCTATCTCATCACCTTCATGCAAAGACCCTGAGAAAGGAGATATACTATATTGTATTAATGAATACTTAAATAAATAATATTTAATTAAATGTATTATGTATAATATGAATGTATAAATAATATGTACTTTATTATTAGGTAGTTATTTAAGTAAATATTTTGAACTGATAAAATGCAAAATATAGTCAAAATATTTCATATTATCCTAGATTTACCTTGTCTGTGGATCATGCCTCCGTGTAATATTCTGGCCACTGTACACCTCTGTTTGTCATTCAGTTTCAGTGTGACTCCCTGTAAATGCATGCGCCACAGTGAAAAGAGACTCCCAAAAATACTGCATGCTCTTCATAGTAAATACAAAACAAACCAGGGGCTCTGAGGGATTCTTCTCCAACACTACTTCTCTCATTTTAGTCATCTCTTTCCCGTTCAGATGTCCAGTGCTGCCGTTTGTAAAAACTTCTGCTCCTTTGTTTTCATCCACTTGTATATCAGCCTTTTTAAACACAAAAACAAAAACATGTTATTATTACTATATACATTTAGGCCTGACATGATACTTACTATACTGAATTATTGTTCAGTTAATAATAGATTTATATTTATTATTCAATATGTATAGTGTGCACAGTTTGGTTCCAGTGGGTGTTTGTGTTATTTATTTGTTGCATGATAAGATTTGAGCTGTTGAAGGTTGAATAAGTAACTGAAAAAAGTTCACAAGGATTATCCTGCTTTATGGTTGCTTCAGAGGTATAAAGTAGTTAACCGTACTATTTTCTACATTGTACTACAACTGTGACAGGCTGATACACATTGAGTAATTTTCACAGGTCAATTAGATGATGCAGGTTTCCCATAGCAACTGTTTCTATCCACATTGTTGCTCTAAGGGCACTATCTATGGTTAAGGTTTGACATATGTTAGAAGTTAATCATTAGTCCAGTCAGGAGAAGCCTGATTAAGCACATTTATTGTTCTGGTCCACCAGGTTAATGTGGTCATACCACTAGTGCCACAAAGCAATGGAGAAAGGATGACTCTCTTTAATTGACTGTTGCATACAAATAAGCCATTGCACCCAAATAAAAATCCCTTTAATGATGTCTAAATAAGTATGTGCACTGTTGGAAATATATTTACCTTTGTATTATCTCTAAATGGTACAGTCCTAACATATTAAGAATATCCTTCATCAATATCAATATACTATGTTGAAGTAATTGCATTTGAAATACAAATTTATCTCAACAGAACTGATTATACTAGCTGTAAAATACTACAGTAAACCACTAAATACTTCATTTGTAAATACACTGTATGCTTTTGGCACATTAATTATTCATCAGATTCAGCAACATCTCAACATAAATCTAATGTGAAACCTGCAAACTAATATACCAATGATTTAAAGGGAGCTAAATGTTATGGGTCCTTTGGGAGTGAGAGCAAGCAAAGTACATCTATAATCTGTTTAAGGGCGTGTAGCATCCTCCATAGTCATAGAGTCTTGCATTGATATTTTGCTCAAACTAGATAAATGTTTGGTTAGTTTTTTTGGTGCATTTGGTGTGTGACATTATTGCATGTACATCTCAATCAGTAGCAGACAGGAAACCCTTTGAACATAAAGGCCAGCTGTGGATATGTGGGGTGTATCAGAACAAAACAGCTTCAACTGAAAAAGTACAACAAATCCAGGAAAGACTCAATTTCCTTTTGTTGAAAATGTCTTACACCACTGGGAACAAAAACAAACTCCTGTATCCTCCACATAAACTATGGACCCACAAACAGCATAGTTCAAATGCACTGGGCCAACAGAATTCTAAACTTGCAAGCTACATTGTCAATATTCTTGTTTAATGACAAATGTTAACTGATTTTAAGGAAACACAAGAGGAGTAGACCATTATGCTGCCTTTATTAGTGTGGCTCTCAAGAAGGAAAGAAGAAGTAATTTAGAATGCAGTGTATAATAGTATATGCAGTGCATTATAATGTTACATACCATTATGATTAAGCAAGCGCCAAGATGTTGGCAATAACAAATAGCTTTGAATCCCCTTAAAGGCTGTTACTAGCCCGGGCTTGCTTACATACTGTTCCAAACCATCGATGTTATTGCACTTGTGTATTTGTCAAATGTAATAACTCAATACTACAGGAGTGCATTAAAGCTCATGTGTATTACAGGTTTCAAATTGTATACTATAACCTTATCTTCTGAAAGCAGCAGTTTTCAAGAGGTCAACGTTTTTGCTCAAGGCTATGAACGTGCAAAATGCTGATGTCAGGAGAAGAGTTTCCTCCCTCATGCTTTAGTCATTGCAAACTTTTCGATTGTAGCTATGACTGTTTTAAACAATAAATAATAGAGAGATTTCACAGAGCTACCAAGTGTCAAGTTTCAATGTGGTTCAGGGACCATCATAACATGTTTTCATTCCCTGTTGGTCATCGTGTTACACAGATCCTAGCTGACATTGAGTAAACAAGTTTCCAGCCCCCAGCTGACATGAGACAGTGTTCCAACAGAGAGCCTCCAGGAGTCAGGATCTTTTTGAAAGGTTACAGATTTAGGATTTTAAAAATAGTTGTTACATTATCATACATTAACATCTAAAAACGAGTGTCTTCTCCCACCCATTTCCCCAAATCCCTGTTCAAATGCAGAAGTGATTCTGCTTATTCAGTGTCTGATTTGTAATATGCTGACTAGTGTGGTCAGGGATTGCAGTCAGCTGACGAGTTGATCAACAATCCTGCATACTTAGCCTAAAAGGTTATTATTAATACAATAAGGTGTAGCTTTATGACTTCCAATACGTACTTCATCTATTCTTAGAGGTTGTTTTGCAGTAAACATAAGTCATATGTCCTTTACCCGGAAGCAAAGATGTAGATTAGTCTATACCAGTGTATATAGGGGGAGTAAAATAGGAACAAAACGCTTTTTACCTTGTCAGACTTTGGTTTGTTTTGAAGTAGCTGCTCCAGGTACAAGTCGGAGAGGGCCGTCCGGACACTGCTGACCGGCTCCAGAATGGCAGTGGGTTCGTTTTTGTTAGACTTTAACGTCATTTTCCCCCCGTAGATAAAGCACGCTGTGAGACCTACGTGCCCCTGCTCAAAGTCCACAGGAGGCTAGTCTGAAAATGCTGCTAGAGAGAGAAAAGGAGCTGATAAAGATTCCTGATGATGTGATAACGCAGTCTCAGATAAAGGTCCAAGGTTCGGATCAAAAGCAGCTGAGGTGCACGGGGTATTTCTCAAGCAGACCCCGCTGACAAAGCAAGTAAACACGGCCTGCTCACGGGCCTGTCGCTGCACTGAAGGGGCGGGCTGATGAGCCGTTCACTGTACCATAGGAAATTGCAGGATGCTAAGCAGAAACGTAACAAGGATTGATATTTTCCATCAAATCAAGAGAGCAAATAGCATAAATAAAATAGATTGTTTATACTAGGAAATTTTGTGTAGTTTCTGTGTGATCTGGATTTACTGAAAATATTTATTTTTTTGTTTAGGCTAATTCATAAAAAAAAATATTTAGCCTTTCATTTTATTTTGAAATTACGTGAACGAATCGCTCCGCAGCGTCTGAAGTGACGGAAAGACACTCCAGAAGTTAAAAGAACACGACGCTACGGTAAAGAGATAAATATGAGATAAATATGAGATAAATATGAGATAAGTATGAGCATAGCGGAAGATTATAAACGCAATACCAGATATATTCAGTTTATATCCAAGATGTTTCACTTTATCCACCAGGTTACACACAATAACAAGAAGCCTGTTTGTTTATTATATTTAACAGTGACACAAGTTGTTACTGTACTCTTAGCCCTGTGCATGACTAATTGGCCTAACCTGCGTAAGTGGACGTGTAGATAGGCTCTTTCAAAAACCTGCAAAAATATTGCCAATAGCCTGATAATCTACTGAAGCTTCACATATTTTTTCCCCATTGACTGGCTGTATTACTTTTCCTACATGAAAATGGCGTTTTTCTTGTGCATCTCCAGAGGGAGCCAGTGTGCAAGCCTTTGTTTTCTTCATCACGTTATGCCTCAAGTGTTCCTTCATATCAGGTGATAAGGTCCTGTTTTCACATCACCAATAATTTTATACCATTGATAATAGATCATTAGGCCTAAACAAGTACAATAAATAAATGCATTGGCATAGGCAAACATGAATAACGTGTATAGGTCTAAACATTAAGCTTTACTCAAACGTAGCAATAGAGCTAACAGCACATGCTTGACCTATAGCCTACATTAAAATTTTGCTTAATGAATGCTTGATTAAAGAACATAGATTCAGAATTCACAATGCTAAAATAATAAAAATGGAAACAAGGGCAAAAACTCAGGCAGGCAAAGAATTGTTTATGTCCCTTACACATCCTGAGATATGGAAGAAAGAAGTAAGACTAGATTAACAAAAGTTAATTATAAAATGTCAAAATTGTTTATTGATTCATAAATTAAGGGTTCTTCTAAGGTAAGCATACCCCATGGATTTATTAAAATTACTCCTGCTAGATTTATGTTCACATCCGGGGCTGAACCGCGCATGCGTTTCACAGCCTTTTGCGCTCCTCCTGAATGGTCCTCCCATGTACTTCCATGAGTCCCCCTCGTGTTTAATTATTTATGGGCTGGTGTATTATAGTGTTATGTGTACTTTAGAGACTTTGGAGCCTTCTCTTTGACTCGCACCTTGATTAGGAGTAGCTTGGATTAAAAGGTTGAAGAAAGTTTAAGTTTTGAAGATTTGATTTGACTGAGGCAATGTACAGCTCAATTCAGAAGAGTCTACGTGTTGCGTCAAAAAAAGCTCAGCTGCTCAAAAGCATCAAAACACACGTGCCACGAGCTTACAAGACTCACGCTGCCACTGTTAACCTGCTGGACCACTGTTTAGGTGAGTGCTCCATTCATAAAAGGACTACATTTATTAATTGCATAGCACACTGATTCTGTTATTTTCCTTACTTTGCATCACACACTAGAACTGCATTACAATGGAACCAGTATGCATTTTAACTTCGTGTGGCTGCGGGATCACTGTCGCTCAGAGTCCTCGTTCAATGCAAAAACAAACCAGAGGAGCCTTGACTCAGCAAGTATTGACCTCAGTATTCGCCCCGTTAGTACCAAAGTGGAGGATGGCCATCTGCTTCTTAAATGTATGTAAATTCACCAGACCTGTATCCAACATATCTTTATTTATTTATTTATTTATTGAAATTTGATTAAATGATTATAACCTTGCTTTAAGCCTAGATTATTTTGGGAAATACGAAGTATGTGCATAATTGCTCATTTTCTTAAGAAAGTATTTGTTTTTAACTGTATAGTCTTACATGTATGTTTTTTATTTTATTTTCATTGTTAATCTTCTTTTTGTTAAGAAGAAGGTAATAATTATTGAACATTGCGATCATCCATCAGTCATCCATGAGTCTTCCATTTTCTGTATAATAATTACAAAAGCAACTGCAAAACATGCACTTTCACTTGAACTACTGCAATATAAAATAGATTATTTTTAGGGCCAGATGATCATGTGACGATGTACGACCTGAGCTGGCTCTCTGAGAACAGCTATGAAGGAAAGAGAATAAGCACTGTGCAGCCCCGTGTGCTGTGGGACTCTGACACATACAACAAAGCCAACGTGTCTCCCGCCAAATGGGACAAGTTCATGAGCTGTGACATTGAACTGAAGCGCTTCTTACAGAATTACCTCCTGTTTGGGATTGCATTTGTACAGGATGTCCCAGCTACAGTGGAAGCCACAGAGGCAGTTACACAGAGGGTCAGTCTCATCAGGTCAGTACAAGCTCGTGGAAGCTCAATATTCACATACACGATGCTCAAATGTCATTTTAAGTGACATAGTTAAGATTAAATGTTTAAATTTTATTCATTTCAAATAGGGATGCGCATCCAGCTTTTTCAGTTTCATGTACCAATATCAATACTGATGTCAACCGATTCCAGTGTAGGGACGAATAGGTTTGTATGAATGAAAGTTGAAACATTATGAGATGTTCTAGGCCAAAATCAGCCAGTAAGTAGTCTTATTATATCATATACTATATCTTATTAAATTAAAGGCCAAACCAGGATATCTACTTAACCAATATCAAGGAGCCGATTCCAGATCCAGCTAATTTTTTTATATCGCCGCAGATTTTTTCACAGAATGCCAGATTCAAAATCCAACTGCATATTGTTGCACCATTTAAGCTGATTCATTCTTTTTCATCGGTGTAGAGAGACCATCTATGGACGAATGTGGTGCTTTACATCTGACTTTTCCCGTGGAGACACTGCATACAGCCAGCTGGCCCTAGACCGCCACACTGATACCTCCTACTTACAGGAACCTTGTGGGTAAGACTATAATGAGACTGTTTATAGAGGACAGATTACCCTTTTTAGGGTATGCATTTATTTAGCATTACACCATAACATATAAAGGTCAGGATGTTACTTTTTTTTTCTTTTTAAACACTGGAAAATTTTGATGAGATATTGTTGAAACCTAAACCCTGAATTTATAACAACAAATTGTAGTAGTTTATTCGGTCATTTGCAGCACAACCCCATATACACAACCCCATTTGAATCATGACATGACTGAATGGGTTTAGGCTGAAGTAAGTACAGAGAAGTGGTGAGGATAGAGGCTTAGTGGAAGCAGAATTTTCTGAGCACACAAACCTCACACCTCAAAAGCAGGTCAATACATGAAACACATGATCAATCATACATGTATGAAAAATGCAAAATATGAGTAAGATAATGATGAGGGAGCACTGTTATGAGATGGTTAAAAGCTCAAAATTGATTGTACATAATATGTCCTGTCATAAAATATGAGCATATAGTAGTAAATGCTTTTGTGATTTGTTTGCTGCAGGATTCAGGTTTTCCATTGTCTGAAACATCAGGGAACAGGCGGACGGACATTACTGGTGGATGGCTTTAACGCGGCTGAAAAACTTCGCGAGCGTTCACCAGACAATTTTGAACTTCTCACACAAATTCCCATCAAACACGATTATGTTGAAAATACTGGTGAGCACAGAAACTACCTAAGAGGCATTGGACCACTGCTGGAAGTCTACCCTTGGAACAAAGAGCTGTACATGATCAGGTAAAATAATGTATATAATGTATAGACTGTGTTCTCAGATTGTGTTCCCATTAGCAGTCTAGCTGGCATTATTAAATCAAAAGAACAAAACAATTTCTGAATTTCATTAATTTCATTCTCTAGAAGTCTTCAGTCACCATGCGTCAATCTTTATCTGGGTGAAAAAGTTTGCATAGTCTTGTACAATAGAAATAATTGTTTGACTTGTGAACTTATTGAAAATTTAATTGCTGTCTATAGTCAAACACTAAGCAGTGATTATTAAGTAGGGCTGCAATTGTTCTACTTGCTCTACTTAATAATTACCAATAAAAGAAAATATTTTATTTATTTGAATAGGAAAACTGTCCTTAAAATGTTGCATATAACAGAAAACTGAAACCCATTGTTTGTGTTTCTTTCTGTCAGGTACAATAACTATGACAGATCAGTGATAAACACCATCCCTCACAATGTGGTCCAGAGCTGGTACGTCGCACACAGAGACCTGACCACTGAACTGAGGCGACCGCAGAATGAGCTGTGGGTCAAACTCAACCCAGGAACTGTACGGCGTGTTTATGTATTTTAATGTCTTTGTCTTTTGTAATATCTGTGTAAGTCATGCCTGTATTTTCACACTTAGGTTATATTTATTGACAACTGGCGTGTAATGCACGGGAGGGAGTCTTTCACTGGTTTGAGGCAGCTGTGTGGGTGTTACCTGACCAGAGACGATGTGCTCAGCAAAGCGCGGGGATTTGGACTGCAGACCTAAACCTGACCAGTGCCTCCTCGCAACACAACAGGACTGCTTAGGAAATTAATTCACTGCTTAATTCATGGACATTTTACAAACTGATTTTGATTTTGCAATCTCACTAATATAACCAGTTATATAAAATAAAAGTGTATATTTTACTAATTGATCTGCTTCATTTTAACCTTACATGAGCACAGTAAGATAATTACATATTTGGTGTTGTTTTATGACAAAATCTATATAAGGTTTGCACAACTTAAATATCCACACTAAAAAATGCTGCATTAAAAATAACCCGACCATGGGTAAAAAAAAAAAAAAAATCCAGGGCTGTGTCAGTGTCCCCAAATGAAAGGCCACACTCATCAAATCAGCCTTTTCCTCTGTTGCTGTGAGGCAGACACTGGACCAAGTCATTGTTTTGCAAGTCTCAAGTCCAAGTCAAGTCACAAGTCAAAGACAGGCAAGTCCAAGTTTAGTCTCGAGTCACTGGCCCATAAGTCTAAGTCAAGTCCAAGTCGTCTGCTTTGACCTTCAAGTCATTTCAAGTCTTTAAACCAAAGTACCAAATATAGCTTAGATTTTTGCTATTTATATGAATTTTAAATTAAATTGTACTTAAAAGGTCATGGTATATTTATATATGAGTATTTATATAAGAGTTGTAGAAATTCTTTTTCCTTTTTAAATGTTTTGAAAAGATGCTAATCAAATGTGAATCATTACAGTCAGAATAGAAACAATTAAGATTTAAAGTGCTTAAGTTATTTTGTCATGTAGTCTGCACTGAAATGGAAGGATCATGTTCTCTGTAGTTTCCTGTTTTACTGTATTGTGCTGTATATTACTGTAGTACATTTAAGGATACCATATCACAGTACTTCAATTACATCCAAAGTAATACATAGAAAAGTGGGAAGGACATGTTCCATTTTGTTCCTGTAAAGTTAAGCACCACATGTATCAACTGAAAAAAGTATTTTCTAAATGCTTTTTAGGAGATGCATTCATTCATTTATTCTTCTCTAGTCCCAAGTCCAAGTCCCAAGTCACTGACCTTCAAGTCCAAGTGGAATCCCAAGTCTTAGTTTTTCCATTTTATCAAGTCAAGTCTCAAGTCCTAAAAATAGTGACTCAAGTCTGACTCGAGTCCATATCACGACTTGCAAGTCCCCACCAGAGATTCTAACCTGCACAGGTTTTCAAATGTTTGCATGTCTGACAAATTATATATATAAACTTTTTATTTGAACTATGTGACCCTAGGTAATATTTGTTTAATTTATTTGTGGTCAGTTTATCTATACACTGAATTGTATTTTTAGTATTTCCACCAACCTGCTCAGGGACTACAGGTGTAAATTAACTGCCCCTGTACAAATAAAAGCACACTACACCATACCTCTATTGCGCACAGCTCTGGGTTATTTTAACTCAATGTTTTTGGCCAATTCAGGGTTGAACTAATCATTGAACTTATCTAAATCGAGGGAGATTCCACTGGGAACAAAGAAAGAAATGTACAGGTAAATAAATGTGTGCAGGTAAAACAGTGTTATCTAGTGACACTATTTCTCTTGTTGAACTTGTTGCAATAATGCATGATCCAACAGAAGCTTTAGGGTGGAGTTCTCAGTCCAGAAATACTAGTTGAGTTGGAAGTTTCAGATTAAATTACAATGATACAAAAACAAAACATTTATAAATACCTTTATCAGAAGAGGAGGTGAAAAAAGCCCTAGACAGTCTCTATTTAACCCATTTTGCTGGATTGTTGTTGAAAGGATTTGACCCAGACTGCTCGGTAAACCAGATGAAAGGTGGCAAAATGTCATTGGAGTTGAGGTAGTGGAAATGCCTTAACTCTGACTGAACTTGTTGACCCAGCATTTGGTGTTAAACAACCAAATTCGGCAAAAAATAACCCAACAAAGTGGCCCAAAAGCAATAACCCAGCAACTGGGTAGAAAACATAACTCACCGTAGTCAGTAGAAATTTGGGAAAATTCTCTAAATACCACATACACTCACAATTCTGTCATCCTGTATGACATAAACTTTAATTGGATTTATTGATTATAATCATTGGAACAATTAAACTAATTAAGTTATCATGTCATACTCTGAGAGCAGCAAGTGAAGCTGTGGCACAGCAAGTTCTAGAGTGTTAATTCAACTCATATATTGTAAATTTTAACACTTTTACCATGTCATATGGGGTCCACAATAAATATAGTTAATATGATTAACTGAGATTCAGGAGCAGGACCACGCCTCAACTGCCCTCTCCTCTCACCAGCGAACCACAACTCACCTCGACCATGCTTCTAATTTCACAGAAGCCTATATGTAGCAGCCTTTCCCACCATCCCAGTTTGTCTCGGCTAACTCAACCCCACCCTCCCATCCCCTACTTTGTTCGTCTTTCAGTCATAAGACCCCTACAAAGGGGGTCCCGTTCCGGCTGGGCCAATTGAAGATTGAGACGGAGCCCCCACCTAGAGTCTCAACCCAGCCATCTCTGCCCCGCTTCGTACATTATCAATAAACTTCTTCGCACTATGTCGTTGTTGGTGTGGTCCCAGCTAGTGAAAATGAGTTAAAACTACACTTTCCAAAGTGTAGAAGGCTCAACACTGGTAAAGTGATGCAACCACACTCCTCATAGTTGAATTTGACACTGATTAACATTTGATTTTTTTACACTAGTGTAGATAGTGAAAAACTAATAACTCTATAGTTATATCTACTTCATAAAGTTAAAACTTTATGAAGTAGAAATAGTGTAGTGTTTTTCATGTTACACTATTCAATAGTAACTCTTTCATCACTAAATACAGTGTAAATGCTGTGGTCATTCTAGTTCATAATTCCCTTTACAAATGTAAAATAATGAAAACCACCACAAAATTCTATTTCAACTTAACTTGTATTGAAAGAATGCACATCATACAGTCAACACAATTTTAAAAAGTTATATGACACAATACTATTTTAGCAAAATCCAACTCACAGCAGGAATTCTCTGTGCCCTCAACAGTTGGTCACAATGATTGCCATTTATTTTTTTGAAGTTGATTTTTCAATGCAAGCAGTCGATGGATGAATCAGGATCTTGTTTTGAATGGAATTCAGGCATGCTCATCTCCAAAAATGAGAGGAGCATGTCTGACTGTTTGAAACAAGATTTTCTCTCCATTATATAAACATAACAATGTTCACAATAAAAACAGTCTTGCTCATTATGAAACTTTGACATTGCAGAAACTATTTACCTTAAGAGTCAGTCGTTCACTCTTGTGGTGTCTTATGACACATCCAACGCCCATGTTATAGACAGTTCTTTGAATATAGGTGTAAAGTTTGTGAGAGTCTGAGGACCAAGTGCCTTGAAGTGTTCACCAAATTCAGCTAGGTCAATGATGACATAAAAAAACCTTTGTCCTTCCCACTTCAGTCACAGTTAGAAAGGCCGTCCAGGCTCAACCAGCAAGAAATGTGTCCATACCAATCTGTAAAATAAAATATAGAATGGAATAAATATAACATATTCAAGTAACCACCTTGCAAAACAGGCTATGCAATATTTAATGAGCCATGAATAAAAATGAAAAAGTAAATGTATAGTAAATATATTATGGTGCATATATAATTGTTTGTTTGTTCATATTAAGCAGGTTATTCTGTTGCATGAGGTGTATGTTTTTGTAAACAGGAACCATTCAAATAAATAACTTGAAGGGTAATTTGAAAAAATGTAGCCCCTTAGAAAAGATTATTTTTAAATGCAAGACCCACATGACACAAAACACCTAAATGCCATTAATCATGAAAACAGAATGAGATTAAGGCAAAAATTACAGCTACTTAGCACAGATATAAAATTCAGTTAGTCAGTTACAAAATTATTGGTGAGGTTATAATTCAGCTCTACATTTAACCATTTCATGACATACCTGCAAGTCTCAGACGAGATGGTTAAAGGCTTGTGCCGTCATCTTTCCACCATAGCCTTTAGGAGCTGGAGATGCATGTGAACCAGCAGCACGACACTCACCCTAAAGAAAACATCAAACAACCTTTTGATTCAAATAATTTTAGTAATTCTCTACTTGATACAATGTCCTACCTCAACACACCACACAAACGTGTACACGTTTATTAGTTATTATTAAAAGAAATGTGAATACAGTGAATGAATGCAGCCCCAATGTGTGAAAAACACGGTGAAAACTCGGAAGAGCTAAGCTAAGAATGCTAACCTGCCCTTCACTCCAGTATAGACCGGGGGTCCATGTCACACCCATTAGATTTTCGTTTGGAAATGGGGACTCAGTACCGGGTGCAGGCAGAGACAGGGCCGTGTGAGGGCGTTTGGATCAGGGCTGCGTGAGATCGTGGATCGGCTGTTTGCGGTCTCCTCGAGACGGAGCAGAGGCAGAGCGGGACTCACCTGGTTTAGGCGTATGTGGGTGTCGGGTTAGACCTGGTCAAATGCGGGTTTAGTCCTTGTTTAGAGACGATTCCACCTCCTCTAGTGCCCAGTCCACTCCAGGCTACGAAGCGTACACCGCGTCCCCGCTGCCCGTGATATACAACCTGCAGGAACACCGGGAATTCCGACAGCTCCCCTCAAAGAGTCAGCTATAGTGTAGCCGCTGAGCGCGCTCTCCAGTCCCGCTTAAACGCAGTGCGCCGCTGCGCCGTAACCAGGTCCAGAAAGTGAAGAGCATCACGGACACTTATCACGGGGCTTTGAAGGCTGCTCTACGACAAAAACACGGACAAAAAGCAAATAGATTTTCCGCTTACAACAAAGTGTTACGATTTTGAATTTCCCATTTCAATACGAAAATCAAATGCAATGTGAACGTACACGGACCCAAGAGGCTCTTGGGTCTGTGTACATGTGCATGCGAGGACATGAACGCCTGTCGCGTCAAGTAGCAGCCCTGTCACAAGCATTACAATGACGTAATGTACTGTATTATGACCTAATACATTTACATGAGTCACTATTTACAGATATTGTACTTTCTTCCCACTGTGAAAATACCAGACATGAGTACTATTTCATGTATTATTCTCGCTATTGCATTAACTTTAAATGACAAATTAGTTGTTTCGTCCAGTTACATTTAACTTAAGTTACTTTAAGAGTAGTTTCCCCGAATACTTTTACTCTTAGCTACTTAGCACATTTTTTGGACTTCTACTTTTTACTTAGACTTGAGAAATATTTTTTTTAAAGTAACGTTACTCTTAATTTAGTACAATTTGTGGGGTTTTTTTTGTATTTTTTTTTTTTTACCCAGTTTTCATGGACATCAGTGACGGCAACATTGACGGTCACAGGTAAGTTAGTTAGCCTACTACTACTATCATTGGACCAAATATATTTAGTATTTTTATGAATTAAATTAACTGCAGAGTGTCCTAAAAAGGTAAAATAATCTGACCTGGGGCATGTGAGAGCTCAGGTGGTTGGACTTTAGGCTCGTTGAATTCAGGTTCTGCTGAAAAACAAACACTATTAGGTGTTAGCTTAGCTTAACTTCGAAAGGTGAGACGTGGCTTTTCTCTCGGACTGTAGCTCTCCCGCTGAAAATGTTACAAAAGTCCAACACTGATGTAGTGTAATATTCAAAATAGACACTTCCTAAATGTTTGACGTTAACACTGTGAATCAACAACTGCTCATCTTATGTCAACACTATGACTCAACAACTAATTTTATTCTACAGCACTGTCATAGTTGAAATAACTCTTGACTATGTTGAAACATATCTGGATTTTCTTCACTTTATTCACAACAACACCAACACTGTGAATTTAACACTTTTGAATTTGCTGTGTGATAATATGAAGTGCTGCAGGAGGCAGGTGCAGCAGGTCTCCCATAAGCGCTGACACAGCCCCTCCTTTCAGCAGAAGCCCAATTTAAACCAGTGTGAGGCTAAGACCCTTTTCTGTCTTCAGGAGTGATCACAGCAGTTTAACAGCCACAGGAGGTGTATTTGCCACTTCTTGAGTAAAAGGTAAAATTAGTCTTTGACATAAAAGTGCATGGAGAATAAAGACGTTTTATTTCAAATTTGAGAAATTTCTACATCCGTTTTATATGCTTCAATTTGTGTAACCATAGTTTGTTATTATATTTAACATATTGGCACTGGATTAAAATGTAAATTAATTCAGTGGACTTCTGCTGTTATTCATGAACCAGAATTTCACTTGGCCCTGGTTAGATACACAGTAATAACATACAAAAATGTATTTATTCAACAAAATAGCACAGAAAATATATACTTTCTTCAAAAGTTATATACATTCTTCTAATCCTTATGGTCTTGTTCACTGTCAACTTGGGAGAGCAGTAAGCATTTTTTCACTGGTTGTGAAAGCAGCTCTGTAGACCCAAAGGTACACTATATGACTTTTCTGTTGGGAGATCTGCAACCTCCTTGTCTCCATGGAGATTTTATTATGTTGCCTGGGATGCACTGGTCAGATCTGTGGACAGGTGACCCCACTCACAGTATGAATGTATGATTTACAAAGCACTGAGCAATAGAAACACCAGTAATAAAATGAATGCAATTTAGATAAGTTTAATACCATCCAGAGAAACGCAATAACATCTCCAGTGCATTGGGAGGACACCTCCAGCCACCCCCAGTGATCGTTTTTACCATAAAACTGGAATGGTTAACAAAGTAAGTGACACATTATCTCAGTCAGTAAAATTCAGAATTACTTAAGATAATCTAGTTTTTGTATGCCGATAAGGACAATAAACTTTCAGTCAATACAATAAAATGCATTTTGTTTAAGGCTTTGTCAAGGATTTATCCTCATGGCATATATACCCCCAAAATAGCAATAAGTTCAAATATTTGTGCAGAGAAATGCAAATCTATTGCAGAAATCTTTTTTAATTGATGAACTCTTTCTTTTACAAAATATTATATTATGAACAACCTGAAACTTTAAGAAAAATGCAATTTCAACACAATGTTTTAACATTAACTTGTATGAAAATAGGAATAAGTCAATTTTTCTTGGAAAATCCTGCACTTGGCGTCCACTTTTCTCATTTTTGACAATTTGCTGATGAGGTCAAAATGATCATCCTTTAAGAGCATTTGGAAAGAGGCAAGTCTTCATTTGTGCTGCTCTGGTGGGAGGGGCCACGCACAGAGGCGCTGGAGACACTGCTATGCTAAGCGGCGCAGAAAATTACCAATATTTTAATAGAAAATATAATTAAAATATTTTAGTAGAAAATCAGCCAAGGGTCAGATTAAAGGTCTTGGAGGGCCGGATCCGGCCCCCAGGCCTTATGTTTGACACCTGTGTTGTAGACACTCAATAAATCTGAACTTTGTGCCATTTCATCTTTACAGTGCACCAATAAATCACTTATAAAGGAGTACACTAGGGGCATTTGTTAAACATTTATTTCATAGAACCAGTCTTGGAAATGTTACTTAAGAAAAAAGTAATTAGCTGCACATTACTATAGTTACTACTCGTACTATATTACATTGCACAGCTAATGCCTCCAGAATGTACACTCTCATCCCAAGCACTTTTGTTCGTGTTTGTAATTTAGTTACAGCAGCTTGGCATTAGTAACTGAGTAGACTAACTCCCAAAACTGGATATAACTGATACAAATCACATTTAGGCTGCATTCGTTTGTTCTATCTTTAATATTTTTACTATTAGAATCAGTTTCCAACAGAGGCCAACCAAGAAACCTGCGCTATCAACTAAAATATATAATAAATAATGGAGAGAATTGTTTATGATCAAATTAATGTATATTTCTGTAAAAATTTATTAAATTCAGTGTACCAGCATGCCTATAAAAAGGGCATTCCACAACATCAGCGTTAGCTCAGATAACTGATGACTGGATTAATGAGATAGAAAATAATAATATAATTGGGATTGTATTATTAGATTTAAGTGCAGCATTTGATTTACTTGACCATGATTTATTGTTGGACAAGTTAATTGGTTATGGGTTTGAAAATTCTGCAACTCAGTGGATCAAAAGTTATCTCACGGACAGAAAATGCACTGTGCTGTTTACTATTCTGAGATAAATACGGTGTGTTGTGGGGTGCCACAAGGAAGCTGCCTGGGGCCACTTTTATTTTCTATTTTTACAAATGATCTGCCGTTTGTTTTAGAACATGCCACTATTGCACTATACGCAGATGACTCAACCATGTACATGTCTGATACTAATCTAGTCAATCTGAATACTCTTTTAAGTGCTGAGTTGAGATTAATTGAGCACTGGATCAATGAAAATAAGTTGGTGATTAATGCCGAAAAGACCAAATGCATGGTATTGGGATCAAGTCATCTTTTAAGGAACTCTCCTGTTCTGGATTTGTATGTAGAGGGCAGATTTGTAGAACAAATAACAGAAACCAAGCTCCTGGGAGTGATAGAGGACAAGCTGACCTGGAACAGTCATATAAAAAACATATTAAATAAAATGGGTAAAAGCATGGCCATTGTGAAGCAGTGCAGAAAATGTATACCAAATCGAATAAGGAAAATATTAGTGGAATCTATAGTCTTGTCACATCTAGACTATTGTTCAATAATTTGGTCAAATACAACAGAGTCAAATTTAAATAAATTGCAAGTAGCACAAAATAAAACAGCTCGTCTTATCCTGAACTGTCCTTTCAGGACAAGCATCAATGAAATACATAATCAGTTGGCCTGGCTGCATGTAAGAGGAAGGATTAAGTACTCTTTGATTAAATTTATTAGAAACCTGATAGTCACAAAAACACCTGAAATACTGTATTGTAAATTAACTATGTTCAGTGATGTGCTTCAGTACTGCACAAGACAGTCAGGTGAGAGTAGTTTTTTGTTACCGACCTGTCGCTCAAATCAAATCCAGAGGACAGTGCGCTATAGAGCAATGGTGGCATGGAACTCACTCCCACAGTTCCTCATCTCGGGAATGTGGATGCTTAGTTTTCATAAAATGATTAGACTGTTCATTTTCACTCGGGGGTAGTATTGTTGGAATAGTTGTAATTTTGTGTGTTTTGTACTTCAGAAGTTTTGGAGGGCGTAATGTTTGAATAAAGGAATTGTGTTGTCTCTGATTTGAAAATATATATATACACACACACACACACATATATATATATATATATATATATATATATATATATATATATATGTGTGTGTGTGTGTGTATATATATGTATATGTGTATATGTGTGTGTGTGTATATATGTATATGTGTATATGTGTATGTGTGTATATATGTATGTATATCTGGGTGTATGCATGTATGGGGATATATACATGTATGTATATGTGCAAGTGTGTGTATGTATGTATGTATATGTTTATTTATGTGCATCAGATGTTATGATTATTTGTATATTTTGTTATCTGTTTTTACCTTTCATTGTTAGTACAAATGTAGTGCATGTACATCCTGTTTTCCTGCAGAAAAAGGCATTTATAGAATGTTACTGACCCCAGGAAGAATAGTTGCTGTTCTTCAGTACCTAATGGGGATCTAAATAAAAAACAAACAAACAAACAATTTCGCACTACATTGTGTATACAGTTTGTATATATGCATGAAGTCAGTATTTATTTGAATACTTTAATACTTGCAATGTCATATGCAACATGGCTATGTCACCATACAATCTCTTCCTTGTTTCTTTGTCTCAGTCTCAATTAACCACAAAAATGCTTACAGCCTATTAACAACGTGAGTCATATCTGATTCAGTGGACAAATTTAACTCTAATAAGAATCGGAAACGTAGATGAGAATGACACAATGACAACGTCAAATTCCTTGAAGATCCTACAATTATTTGATGTAAAAATGCTTCATTAGACACATTGATTTCTTTATTCCTGTCCCTCGTCCTCCTCCTCGTGGCGGTTGTCGCTCGTCGTGATTTCAGTCTCCACAGTGGCAGGAGGAGCGCTGACAGCCTGAGAAGGGCGCCCCCTAGTGAACATAACTGTGAGATGCATACTGATTGTGACCAGATCGAGGTTTCTGCTTCTACAAAAAAAACTCACTTCTTCTCGTTGGCCTCAGACGCTTTAACAGCTTTGTATTTGCTCTTCTTCACAGTGTGAGCAATAAACCACACGATTAGCACGATCAAGAGGCAACCCAGCAACGCGCCGATCACTGCTCCAGCAACCACTCCAGCCCCCGCTTCTGCAGACACAAACTCAAGGTAATTAGAAAAAAAAAGTTTAGAAAAGAAAAGAGTTTACTATTATACAGAAAATAAGTGAATACATATGATATTTAATTACCAGGGTTTAACTCTATAGTGCAAGTTGAATAGCCAACAGCATTGGTGGCATTGCACTGATACTCCCCAAACTCAAACTGAGATATGTTAGCAATCTGGAGAATCCCGGTGTCAGTAGCTGTGAAAGTAAAAAAAACATAAAATTACAATCAAGCCAACCAATTTTGCATTACAATAATAGCATCAAAGCTTTGATTACTGACTTCTGCCCAACACGGGCCTCCTGGTCTTGGTTTGGTCCAGTCTGATCCACGTGTAGATAGGGGGAGGACTCCCGTGCTCGCTGTGGCAGGTCAGAGTGACCAAGTGGCCTGTTTCTACATCTCCATGAACTGAGCAGTAGGGCTGTGATGGCTTCTCTGAGTCAGGACAGGCACAAACTCACATTATTATAGTTTAGGTATGAGCATCCTGTTGCATTGTAGACATATAGGTCATTCATTTAGACTTGATTGCTTGTTAATTAGTCTGGACTTCACTTTCACTTTCACCAAAAAAAAAAAAAAAAAAAACAGCACCTGATTGCATTATGTGTTCACTGATACATTATGAAGTAATACATTATTAACTTAATGGGACAAATGGCATGGTAATACAGAAATATGTGTAAAAAGATGTAAAAAATAAAACATTTTTTATGTGTGATAAGAATTCCATTGTTCAAGGTGTGAAGAAGACCTAATATGAGCGGGCTGTCTACATATATGAGGTAGGTGGAAGGAGGAAGCTTCTACAGCAAGTGGCACGTGTCAGTTTACATTCACTTTGCTGTACAAGGATGCGGTAACAGTCCTACTCTAATTTCAACACAATGCGAAGGCTGCTGCTGTTACCATGGGAACTGCTGAGGATGCTGATGTTGTCGTGGTAACTCTGAATGAGAGGATTCAAACAGAAGAATCACACTATTCAGGGACATCACATAAACATATCAATGGCACAGCATTGAAAAGATCTAAGTACAACCTAAGGATAGCCATATACTTTACCAAAAAACTCCTTACGATCCATCATGCTCCACTTATCAGAGGTTTGGAGTCAGCTGCAGCCTTTGTAAAGGATTTTCCCTTCAGATATCCCCCTGTCACTGTGGGGACATACTGAGGATTCCCCATTTTACATCCTTGTCTGAGTATGTCCTGCTCTTCCACTGTTAGAGCTGTGCATTTAATCATAATTTAATCAAGATTGATTTCAGGCATTTCTAACTGTCAGTGATATGCTAGGGTCTTTTTAATCTCATATTTATAGTCAATTGTTTGTCAGTACAAGCAAGTGGTTTGGAGAAAGTACTTTTGAGGAAGTAATTTGTCTATTCTTTATGTTATATGGCAATTATTAAAAGTCTGTATATTTTATGTTTATGTAATTAATATTAAAAGCAATTTGCAATGTATTTTATTTTTTGTCATACCCCATTTCAACTCTCTGAACAGACCAAGTGTTGTACTCACCTAGCACATTGACCACGATGCTGACCTGAGATTGACCAGCTACGTCGGGGTAGTTGTGCACCTCACATGTGTACACCCCGGAGTCTGCAGGCTGCATGTTTCTGATGATTATTGAGGCGTTGTAGGATGTGGCTGGAGACAGAGGAGGCTGAATTCTTCCCTCATATGGTTGTGTGATCAAATCTTTGCCAGCCTGGTAGTAATATAGCTAGTCGACAAGAGAAGAATTAATTTCCCTAGCTCCAAAGTATTTTACAGTACTTGTACAAAACAATTAATAATGTCACCATGGTCCATTATGAGTATCACGGTGTAGCATTAAGACCCACCTTGGGACAACAAAACCTATGACTCACACTTACTCAGTCTGAACAATAAGAGTTGGTGCCATGAGAATGCATTTGTAAATTTCAAGTTAAATAATACACCAAAGTCTAAACATGTAAGATGCTGATTCTGTTTATATAAAACCAAATGCATAAATTTGTAATCCTTTTTTTTTAATCCAACTTTATTTCAGGACAAAATTAACAGTAACAATCAAGCTAAGCAGAATTTACTTGTCATACTGATATAATGATGTTCTTCAGGGATTTTGGGGGTACCTGCTGTGGAGTCATGGAGGTCTTGGAGACCATGTCCCACTGAATGGTCAGACCATTAGTCGGCTGGCTCGTCACAAACGTGCACTGGAGCAGGACTGTTCCTCCCGTTGTAACATTTACAAACTTGTGCGGAGTTGTAACAGTTATTAATTCCACACAGCCTGGAAGACAAAATGTTATTTCATGTACATGCAATTAAAATATTTCAACTTTTTTCAGAGCTTACCAAAGAGGGCGAAAAACACTGAGAAGTACAGCATGTTGCCTGATCCAGATGTAAACGTGTTCACTGAGTACCTCTGCTCTAACAAATGCCTCAGACGTTACATTGAAAGAAAAGACTTCAGTATCAGGCAAAGGTAACTTTGATAACACACTGTTTGTATTTCTGTGTTTACAGTAGTGGGTGTGTTGAGATGGATTTTTGAAAATACATTAAAGTGGTCAAAGTTAATGTTTAGCATAGGACTGCAGTAATACATTAATTGTGACTAACTGACTATAAAAAAAATATCATAATTTGATAATAGCAGAACACATATACCATTGTATAACATAGACAGTGGCATTATTAAATCTAACGAAGAGGGAGGGATACTTTAGTGATCTCGAGGGAAATTCAACTTTTGCTGCAGCAAACTGTTGCAGTTTTGTTGCAACATTTATTCTTTATTCATACATATTCTCTATCTAGAAGCTTCCAGACCATATTTCTATCTTGTGATAATGTATTCATAAAGTTTCTACCACAGAAGTACAAGTACAATAGAAATAATCGTTTGATTAGTCGACTACTAAAATATTCGTTATAGTTGCAGAGTATGAGCTGGGGTGATACTACAATTCCATTCATTCACTTTGGTGGTTGCACTCCTTTCTCCTTGTCTTGTAAGTCATTCTGGGTCAGGGCTTCTAGTGTGGGGAATTAATGTAATTTAATCTCCACCTGGCCTTTATCACTTGCCTCAAGGAAGTGTAAGCTAAAGCAACATGCCTCTTATCATTGGGGAGTTGATTCTCAGGCCCTGCGTACTTAATAAAGGGAGTTTCACCTCTGCTGCTTTCGTTCACACCAAGCCGACTACAGTGCTGTTCGAGAGACAGTGAATAACACATGATTAATTGTGTGCAATTACCAGCGGCTGACATAGGTGATTAGCTATGGAAAAATGTTGATTAGGGGTGACTGAAGGGGTGAAGTGAGAGAGGCTGTGGGTAATCCAGGGGAGTGAAGGGGCATGTAGCACTCATTAAACACAAGACAGTTTGGTGACAGGGCAGGAAGTTAGACCATCCCACTCTCAAACAACCATGTGTGACTGGTGTTTGGAGGCCACCTTTTTTAAATTCAACTCAGGATGACCTAGTGATGGTTTGAAAAACATACAGGAACATCTTCATATAAACAAACAGGTAAATACAGTGGAGAGGGAAAAAGAAGAGGCAGCTAACTTCTGTGTTATTGTAAGTCGTCAGACTTTATTTATAGAGCATCTTTCACAGATAAAAAGTGCTTTACATAGTGCAATTGTAGCCTATATGTACATAATAAAAAACAGACAAACACTAAATAACTCATACTTCAGTTCTAAAGGCTGTATGGCTATTCATGGCTTTCAGGAACATTATTCCTTCCTGATTTGAAGGGTTTTGTTTTGATAGAATTGTGTTATTGCTATAGCCTGAAATATGCCTGAGACTCATGAGTAATACAGTATAGTGCTGTAATACTCATAGGCTTTGTGTGCCCAACCTTAGGAGCACTAACTTGGTCATTATTTTCTGATAGTAAAATTAACCTCATCAAGTGCCGCCTTCAAGTGAGCTGTGACTGGCTGGATATAATGTAGATGCAGTTAAACTTTTTAAAGTTGATGCTTAGATTAAAGTTGCACTTTTTTTTGTTTTTTTTTAGATTGCTCACTACCTGCATGTCTAGCATTTATTTAAAGGTGCACTAAGTAACTTTTCTGTTGTGGTCCACCATGGATATATATATTTACCTGGAACGTTCCTCAGAGTGGCATGCCTCTATCTTCCATGTATGTGTATGTTACATAAGCTGTTAATTATTGCTTCAAATACTTAAAAAAGCATGTGAAAGTATGCCATCTGACCTTTAACTTGGCTAATCTTTACAAAGATTGATACATTTAATACTACACTGTGGAACATTCAAGGCTGACAAAGCTATATACAGCAGTACAGTATCCCCCTGGTGCAATTGCTGCATTTTTACAGTAAGCAGGGTCACCTTTTCACAGATTTTATCAGTAACATGGCCTGGTGGTGCCATCTGCTTGTCTTCAAAATGACATTACATTACAAGTAAAGCATTAACATCTACATGGAGACATGCAAATGGTGTTTCCTCCAGCTGAAAAGTTACGCAGTGCATTACATTCCTTCATTTGAAACCATTTCCCCAGGATCTTATCAAGCATTTAGTCATTTTCCCATTCTATCTATAGGGATGTTTTTTGTCTTAATATTTCACATGTAACGGTGAGTCAGTCAGACAGAGGCTATCCTGCCAGTCGGTGGTGGACGGACACTACAGCCCACAGCCGTGTCTCTGCTGCACTCTCGTATTCATCCGCCCACTCCATCGGTATTTTCCTGTCGGCGCCTGTGGGGAGCTCTGATTCACACTGTCTGCTTTTATTTCTACAGACTGGTTTGGACGTACAGGCAGACGGATGTGGAATAGCTTCATATTAGTAGTCTACAGATTTGAGTAATTGTTTTGAGACGAGTGGAGTAATAGTGATGATGAGTGGAAGTCCTTGTGAAGTCAGGCTGCAGTTCACATGATTACCAGCAGATGGCAGGGCTGGTTCTTGGATGGTGACTGTGTGTGTTATATTCGTGTAGGGGGGTATTGTATGTTTCTTCAATGCCGTTGAAAGCATAGTGCAGCCTAAGTTATAACATGGTTTCTGAGGTTTGTAAGCCTATGTAAAGCTGCACTTTGCATTTTTTCAGGTAGAGTCTGCCATCTGCTTGTCTCCATGCAGGGATGATAATGCTTTGCTTGGAATGACCCACAGTATGACATCAAATTTCCATCAATATAGATACAAGCCAGTGATAGCATCAGGCCGAGATACAGGTCACATGTGTGGAGAGGCAAGCCTGCTCAGAGCAAAAATGTATTTAAGAATCTTTTGAAACCTGTAACTGCTTGTAGCAAACCTGCTAGATGTATTAGTTAGTCAGTGTCATACTGGAATTTTCTAGGTATATCAGTCTTCATGAAGATAAGAAAATGGTTAACCTTACCCTAGAAGAATTTCATAGTGCACCTTTAAATGAGTAATATTCTGCCCTAGCCTTTTGATTTCGTTAAGAGAAGAAAAACAAAAGGTGTCTATAACTATAATCATTTCAGCAGTAAAGAAGCAGAAATAGCTTCTCTTTGAGCTGTATAAATAAGTGTAAAAGTGGGACGGGCGGAGGTGACCTGAGATCAGGAGGAGCACAGGAGTTATTGGGTTCATGCTGAAAACGGAGAGCGATGCCTGTCAACTTGATGTCTGACGTGCTTCTTTGATCTGGTATGAGCACTGAGCTGATCCTTTGTCAGAGTGGAACAGTGGGCTTTCTACAGGCTCCATGGGCCCCCAGACACTTGATTTAATAGTGTTTTTACTGACCTACATCCACCCTGAATTCATGTCATGACAAAACATCTCAACCCTATGAGGCCAGTATCTCCTTCAGTTTGGAATAAAAGAGGAGTGATGGCTTACAGAGAGGCTTATTAAAAATTTAGAATCACTTCTTTTAACTACCATTCATAAAACATAGTTGAAAAATTATTCAGATTTATAAATAAATACATATATTATATGTATTCAGTGCTGAGGTGATATTAATTTATGCAGTTATTTAATTTTGGATATCTGTGCTGATAAGTAAATGTGCCCCAGCTGGCTTATATATTGGGCCACATATAAATGCCATATTCTTTGTGCTGTTCAACTGTTTAAAGAAAATACATCACTATCAATATCAATTCTCTATTTTAAAGCTTTAGTGCAATAAGAGCACTGCACAAAATGTGACTACTCTGCTTTTTTGAGCTAGTATTAAATCAGAACTAGTGATGTAAAAAAAAATTATAAAATAAAATAAAAATCATATTGATCTATTTTTCTTTATTGTTCTTTTATTATACAGAGCATAGTATAGGCAAATTATTAAGTTTGGAGTCAATTCAAATCAGATATATCCTGAAGTTTTGCTGTGTATGTCAAGTGATTACAGTACAAAATTTGTTTAGATTTCACAAAATTGTCTGAGGAATATCATTTTAAATCAGTGTTCCTCTCTACAATTATCTATATACTCCCCTCTGAGATGCACAGGCTTCTGCATCTCCTCCTCATGCAATATGCAAAGCTATGCCACACACTGGTGTAACTGGTATCTCACCTCTGGCCCTCGTCTCTCTGCATATAAGCCACCATGTTATCAGAATCATATCCCTGGGGCTGGCTTTAGTGGCTCAGCGATGGTCACATTGCATAAAAGAGATGTGTCTTAATATTTTATTACACACATTATATTCCCACTCTTGCTCCTCTCTCTTCAATCTCAGCTCCCTTAAACAGCTGCTCCAAGAATATCCCTTAAAGATAGACACTGGAATATTGCAGATGATGTCCACAGAAAGGTTTCTTGTGTTTGGCAAATAGCATTTACTTATTGTTTCTTTCTTTATATACAATTTTTCTTTACTTTATCTCATACATTTTCCTTGAATTTATAAAATATCTGGCAAGTCATGGATGCATTGTTAGTGTTATTTCCCAGTAGAGATGGAACTGTAAACACTAATATTGTTTATTCTAATAAAAAGGGTAGTCAATAATTGTTCATGGGGCATTTTATATATTCATGATAATTGCCAACAAAGATCATTGCTACGGGGACCAGGGTTCCTGGATAGTCTCAGATTTTTAAGAAAGGGAAACTGAATTTGTTTGTTCTTTGTAGTAAATTTTACATTCTTTTGGAGAATTTTGGACATCGGTGTCATTAAAATAAGAACATTTTATAGAAATAAATAAATATAGTATTCAAATAACATATTTTACCTGGAATGTGAGACAAAGCTAGGAGCTCTCAAGACAAAAAAGGTAGGGACTAATTGCCTAGCTCAGCACAAACCATATTATCCAAAATCCTCAGTTTTTTACTGTTAGTAATTTTATGTAACTGTAATTCTTTAAAAATGCCTCCATAAACAATAGCAGCTAAAGCAAGCATTTCTAAACCAATAACCCAAGCTTCCGTGTTTTGAGCTTTTTTCTAGGAGCAGCCATCAGTCCTGACCTGCGTTAATGCACATGTTCAATATTTGATGTTTTTATGGAGTGCTGACAATAGCACATGGAAATGGAGGTATGTTTCAGGGAGCTACTTTACTGTGTTTTTACAGAGTGAGCCACTCCAGCCTTGATGAAGAGCTGGGTTACTGTGAAAATCCAGCCCATAACTGTGCCAATGTTTTGAAATAAACGCTAGAGTAGGTTCTGTGCCTGCTTAGATGCATGTTGGTGGACATATTATTTATACACCTCAGCTCTTCTCAAGGTGAACTCACTTAGGGCCATAATCAACTGTCGAAGAGGCTGGTTGAGGCGGGCCAGAGTAAATTAAAAGAAATCAATTAGCAGAGACAAACCTGGGCATTAAATCTGCCGGTCGGCTGTGGAGGAACAGAGGGAGGGGATCGTTACGGGACACACTGTAGCACAGCGGCTAAGCATGATGAAGCACTAACCAGGAGCTACTGCAACTTACAGTTACAGATAATGTAGTGAAAAGGAAATGAATAGATTAAAAAAGCTGACGTGCAAAAAACAAAAAAACAAATTCATAAATGTAACTTGTTAAAATAGCCTTAGGTCTGCAAAAATTAATTGAAATAATTGTGCCTAGTCAACTATTAAAATTAATTTGAAAATCATTATTGCTATTTGGACTATATGGAGTCTTAAAGGTCCTATAGTATGCAAAGATAATATTGTTACTTCATCAAAAACATACTTGAAGTTGCATTTTGTTTGCGTTTTAAATGTGTGAATGAAATGAAACACAACTCTGAGTATGTTTTGATTAAGAAAAAAACATTAAAACATAGATCAGAAAACATAATATGGGCCCTTTAAGCATGTCCCAAAACTTCTACTTATTAAAAAATGTTTTGATTTTAGTCAGTAGTACACTTCAGCAATCAGGATATTTTACCTTTATTTGGTTATAATGTATTTAAAAATCTCAATGTATATAGAAATAATCATTTGACTAGTTGAATACTGTAAAAAAATCATCACTGACTACTAAAGTTGTCTGTGTCTGTGTGTCTGTGTTACTCAGCTGGGTAGGATACATAGCAAATGAAAAATTAAACTGTCAAAAAACAAAGCAAAACAACCTTTGTCAAGTTGACAGAATATAATTTTTCTTTTGCTATGGTAACTACTAAAATAATTATTAGTTGCAGCCATAGCCTATATGTATGATTTTTCAGCAGTTGTTTACTTATTTATTTGTTTATTTTCATCAGGGTCGAGGGGTTATCATAGGGAACTAACATTTGTCTGTTTTTACACCAAATATACTCTTTCATGCCATTTCTACGATCACATTGATTGTATCTAAGTATGAAGGTGCCCTGGGTAACTGTTTCTCATCCCCTTTAAGATCAATGCTTGACCTTTGACCCATATCAGTTTTGCTAATACGTGTAAATTCTGGTTTTAAACAGGGGGGTCCTCAAAGCTGAAGGAAAGTAATTACAGTCATGAATCAATTGTTGGAAATCCTTTCATCACACACCGATAGGATTTGACTTCTAAAAAAGGACAATGCTACAGGCATACTACAATAATGCTGTTATGTTTGTATTTGCAGTAATGCAAAAGAAAGTAAAGTAAAGTACAGTAGTATATTGTTTTTCATATGCCATAATGATACAGTGACCGTATAGAAGTGATTTCTGTCCCTGTTTATAGGCTTACGCTGACAGTCAGTGCACACAGCAGATTGAGAAAACCTCTCAGTGCCTTTGTAACCGCATCACTGCTCACTTTTCTCACCCTATATATTATTTATCATAAAACAGCCTCACCTCAAAAAATGCATGTTATGAAGCTGTAAAAAACACAAAGAAGGTTTTCATACAAGTCATATAATGGTTTGACTTTTACTGGCCACACTGATCATTACTATATACACAAAAGATGTGCTTTACAAAATAGTTGGTATGTTCAGAATTGTGATTTTACAAAAAGACATATTTCTTATATTATAGCCCCTCCCCATGCCCCCACACCCTCCATCATGTTCCAGTGTGTTGCCCATACTGCCTCATATGCGTCATTGGTATGCATGTGCATGTGAGCGTTTACCCACGATGCCTAAGGGAGGTGGTCCTGACGACAATGATGTATTGGTGTCTGGGGACGCCACACCTCAAAAATCATTAATAAAACCTAGGACTAATGAGTATTTAAAGCCATCAGCGCCCAATTAATAACCCAGCATATTCATTTGAATGGTGGTTGGAGTAAAGAGACATTTATGTTACCATATGGTCTTGTGTCCTTCTCCAGACCACTCAACCCGGCAATAGCTGCTCCCAGCATGCATTGGGTGTAAGGGCCCAGCGTGTTGTCAGTCACGGTGCTGACACACACGGAGGCAGACATGTTCACACCTACAGGCAGTTTAGAGTCCCCTGTCGCTTGCTGGGAGCCATGTGAAGGAGAGAGAGGAGCGAAGACGAAGGCCCAACTCATCATCCTTACATGCTTGTTTTATATTGCATTTTCAAACTTTTGATTGGGTTTTTTTTTAAGTCCTGTTAATAGTCCTGATAACTATGAAGCATGAACTAAGCCCTGGTTTACAGTTTACAGTTTAGTCCTTATTTTTACCTTTTTGCATCAAAGTGTCATCTGTTTATTCCTGGTTTTATCATTCACCTAGTTTGAAACCCTTTTTGTCCCACTGTAATTAAATAATTGTTTTTGAACCCTAAGAAGAAAGAAAGTAAGAAAAATGCAGGACTCACTGGCTGTGTTTACTTGCACACTCAAACTCTGAGTAATATCAGAGTTTGGCTGTTTAAGATTTTTAAAATGACCTGTAAACTGCAAAATCATCATCTCATTCTTTCTGATGACGGCCCCTCTCATCTTTCAAATCAATCAAATTAATTTTTTTTTTTCTTCAGAGTTCAGAGTTTAGCACCTTCGCGTCGACTGAAGTGCCATATGATGTTGCTGTGTCTTGCCATCTGATGACAGTGGTTGTGGCACTGTCTCTTTCCTACTGGGAGAGGCAGGCAGTCTGCAGTCAAAACATGTCAAGGTATGAACACAAAACCTCTGCTGTGAAAAAAACTGAACACAAATACTGCAATTTCCATCAACTGGTACAGCAAAAAAAAAGAATTGTAGTTGTATGTATATATATATATATATATATATATATATATATATATATATATATATATATATATATATATATATAATGCCTGTAAGAGAAGGGAAATTTAAAAAAAAATTTACACCATTGGTGCATCTGAGATGTTTAGTGCAAATGAAGTATTAAATTGAGTATTGTGTTTGAAATGTAAAAAATCCTTAAAATCTGCCCCCAAACTTCCTCCACTGAGGTTACAGCGCCCTTTAGCGCCCCCTGTGCCCCTGCTCAGGGTTGTGCTTTTGCAGAACAGATAATATTTCAGATGTCATAGAGCATCATTAGTCTGTCCTCACTTTTGAACCTAAACGTTCACTAGAGTTCAAGAGCACAGTGCACCTTATAAAGAGTACCCAAATGTACTTCCAAATTTAGTCCGATGTCCTCGACTAAGGACACAACGCTCGGCAAATAGTTGCAATTGCATCTGTTCTTTTGACAAAACTAATTAATCATGGGGAGATTTTCAGGAGCACAGCACAAAGTAAAAGTTTGTGAAATGCCCCAGCCAGGACACAGCGTACCATTGTTACACCTGATCATTACTTAATTCACTATTTGCCAGAAAGTGTAATTGATTTTCAATTGAAGAATGGGGCAAATGTCAGTAGGAGTCACTTTGCGTCTTTATTCAGGAAAAAGGGTATGAAAGGAGGTATTCTCATAAACGCGCAATGTTTTGTTACGAAATTAAAAGAAAACAGTTGTAGTTGTTTTGTTGTGGGGCTGTCTTCGTATTGAACAGTCAAATGCAAGACACCAACTTATGTGAGAACTGCATTAGCAACAATAGCAGATACCTGATTTGTACCATTTGTATGTGAGGATTTACCTTTTGGGGACTAATAAGGTGAACAAAACATGTAAATCGAAACTGAAACTAAACATATTAGTCCTCAAAGGGCAAATGAAAAGACTTCGTGCTTTCGTCACTGTATAAGCCTTTATTTGTAAAAAGTCTGTTATTTGAATGAACCCTTTTTATACCACATACTTGAACACTTTGTATTTGTAAAAAACACATTTTGTTCAAACACCTAAAAAAGCTGATTGACACTATAACATTAATTTGCACTGACAAAAAAAATACAACTTGATACTACACAAATGTTGATTCCATGAGTACGAATACTCCAAATGAAATCAAACACCTTATTAAACAACTGAATCAAATAAGCGCCCAATGTGAACAAAACAAGTACAGTACAAAACCAAATGCTATTTTCTTCCAGTGCCAGTATATCAGATGAAAAACATTTCCTTCTCATGATAAAACAACATCTACAATAAGAGGAACAATCCATAACAAATGCAACAAATACAGGAAATCAGAAATGAACACAGAAATGAAGAAAAATAGATCTACTCATCCATATTTCAAAAGAAACAGGCTATTCTCTTAGTGGGTTTCTTTCTCTTTTTTTCCCCAATTTTTCACTGTAATAGGAGTCTTTTTGACCTACTGGTTAGAGAGGACACGGTCTCCCTGGTCTGCGTCTAGTTCATGTGTTACTGGGAATCAGCACAGCCTCTTTAAGAATCCTCCTACTGTAATGGACAGAGAGCAGAACCAGAGGCAGCAGCATATTGAAGAGAAACACCACTCAGTGTGCAATCACATGGCTTACGTTCAGACGCTACTGCAGACAGAGCATCCTCTACATCCTTTGTAGTGAGGGCGATTGATGCCGATGCTTATGCAGAACCTGATAGAACTACAGCATGCACTCAGTGCACCTAATCCCAATTGAGTGATTTACAGTGAGTACATAGCACATGTACATGTTTTTGTCTTCCGGTTTTATCAACAGTTTGTTTCACAAGGTTTATAGAGCTGGCTGTAAAACAAGTGCAATTTTAGCATGTAAACACTGGATCTGTCTTTTTCCTGGCTATGGAGATGACACTGATGGTGTGAGTTAAAAAGATATGAAAATAAACCTTTTCAAACTTAGGTCATGCAAAACAAAACCTACAAGGTCCACAAAATAATGAATTTAGCGAGAAAGGCCCCACAGTGCTGAAGTTTGCTCACATCTGGTTAGTGTGTCATCACTGATTCATTACACTCCAGCACAGTTGTGTTCACACATTCAGCTCTGCATAATCTTTAGAGTGGTGCAATTCTGAACGACATGCCCCAAAATAAACACGTGTTATAAAGTGCAGCTGACAACAAACACAAAATCTAATTTTAAGAGTAAATGTGAGAATAAAATTGTGTATAGCATGTATCGCATGTGGTTCCGATGATCAAATCATGCACCAGTGTCCTGACGCGAAAAGAGAATCATTTGAATGTTGATATGAGCATTTTCTGTCAAACGTAAATGTGAGGTCAGTGCTTTACGTCATGCAGAGACTGATTGTGATCAATAGCTCTAAAATATTGACTTCCTGAAGCAGCCTGCACAGAGACATCTATTGTTGGCCGGGAGCAGCTGCACTTGAGCACATGGTTGCCCAGTAACACTGCTCATGAGTGTTCAAGGACACGCGTGACATTTTTTTCTTCGTTGAGGAACAGGAAAAGACTACTCACTCCCTTTTTAAGGCTATCCTGCTCCTCTGCCTGCTCAGAGATATGCCCTTAATTTCATCATGTAGCATGATAGCTGAGGTAAACATGTTATTGAATGTGCTGTAACTCACAGGTGGAAAAGCCCACTTAGATCATGTGAAATTAAGTTAGACACTTCCCTCAGAATGACATCACTCCAACTGCTGAGGGTGAACCAAGGCATACTGTTAAATACAGGACCGTACAGGAGGAGAGAGGCTCCCTTCAGTGTAGTGAGAAGGGAGCAGGCGAACACTGTGAGGCCTTTGTGAGACGATTCCTTCATTATTTTGTTCACACTGTGTATTTCTTGTGTTTCATTTTTTAGGTTTCGTTTGCAGAAGTATGCCAATGCTAGAGAAGCTGTCCATGCCATTAGCAGTGAGGCTAGCTGGTATTACGAACTGCCATGTTTTTGTTCATGCATTAAGAACTATTAAGTGAAAGATATCATATTTACAGTACAATTCACATGTAATTACACATATACACTAGAGGCAAGAAAATTCACATTGAAATCAGTTCAACACTTTTTTTCCTCTACTCTTCAAATGAAATATATTTTCTCTTGTTTAAGCAAATATTATAAAGTAAAGCATAAAACATAATATCCTCACAGCTTTTGGGATGAATGCACTGATTTTGTATTCAGAGCTCATATATGTGTGAGTGAGTGACATGGTGCTCATTGTGAACATGCAAGGGCTGCAAATGTGTCTGTAATGGATGTTAATTAAATCTATGCATCTAATATGAAAAACCTCAAAAGGCATTTCGTTTTTATTTCGGTAACTAAACCAACCTGATTTTGAAACCATACATTGCAAAACACGATCTTTTGGCACAATAGATAATTAATCTCCCTTCAAGTCAAAAGCTGCTCCACTATTTCAGCTGAATGTGCTCTGCTTGTACAAGAACAAAATACATTGCCTGGCCTCTAGTCAGGTAAAGATCCATCATATTGCCTTTGAACAATTTGACAAGCTGTTGCTGTGAACAGTGGGGTGAAGGGGTGATGTAACCTGCGTCAAACCCCCATTTTATGTTACTACTTTTTCTACCGATGAGCTAAACTGGTGAAATACAGAAATGTGAAAAGCACGTTGGTACTAATCTCCGCCTCGTCTCATTTCAAAAAAACGCTAAATTCAAAAAGTGTCCTGATTCAGGCGCTACAAATACTGTCAGTAAAACAAAAAGAAATACTGCAAAAAACGCAATCAAGGCCATTGCATAACCAACTGTACAGTTGGCTTCACAGGAATAGAGAATGAATCTAACAACTAAAAAATGACAAACTACAGGTACATCTTTATAGATTCATAATACTCTATATGGTATAATATATTCTAATGTTAATGATACATATATTACTTTATTTTAGTTTTTAGTGCAATTATTTTCACCCATTTTCTCACATTATTCAGGACAAGTGTAGTTCAGTGTCCTTTATGCTATAACAATGCAACACAGTATTTTATATCCTCTCCTTGCTCCATTCTCTTTTCAACATTATTTCCAGTGTGTTTTCTGGAAATTACACGCTCCCCTTTCCAAAGTTTACTTCATAGTCGAAGCATGCTACAACGCCTCCTACAATATTTTCCCCATAGTTGTTATATTGTCTCTGTAACCAATCTACATTTGTATAATATCAATCATGAACAGAATATTTGGTTTCAAGTCATGGGCAGCTACATAAGCAGTTCTTACAATGATCCAGTTTTTTGATTTACGGGTGAGCTGTATTTCTTAAAATGTTTCCAATATTTTTTAATGCTAAATCTATCAAACTTCAGCGTATTACTCTGCTCTGCTTCCATCTCCCCTTTTTTGGATTTTCAACGTGTATTTCTTCAGGGACAACCCAACCGCATTTTCTGCTATGAGGTCCAATAATGCATGGTGAACGCACGTGGTAGCTATATTATGTGAACATGACAATGGTTAAGGTGATGTTGCTTAAGAAAAGCATGTAAGGCTTTTCTGTTAGTCTTTAACTTTGGTGAGCACATAAAATAACGCAGTTAGCCTAACCTAAAAACTACTCAAATTGTATCTAGAACGTAAGCTATATTCTCTGGTAAATCAGTTTGTCTGCTAATGAACCTGAGCCCTGTGTGTGTTGTAGAAAATAAACAACAGTGCATATGGATTATAGGCCTTTTCGGTTGTTTCATGGCTATTTATAGTACCTTTTCTCCACATGGAATTCCTCCTGGTTGCACTGATTTTTAATAGGTCCAGAGCAGTTGTTCGATGGGACTAATTTGAACTATCCTTCTCACTGGGCTGCCCAATTTTACTAAAATAAATATGTGTCTTGCTAACATAAACCCATGTACAAATGCCAAAAAACAACATTAACAACAACAAAATTACCATTGTCTTCAAGTCCAACTGTGGGCTGATATGTTGTGTCTAAAAAAAACACACTCATTTTGATCACAAAAGCACTGCCCTCCCCAACCCCGTTTTCCTCTATGTGAACAAAAAGCAGAATAAGACATCAATGCACCTAAAACAATGTAAATCAACCATAGGAGGAAAGAAACAATACATGTATACTTAAATGATAAAATGTACAGAATGCTTTTTGAACAATCAAAATGATTAATGCATACAGTTGAATCTTTTTTAAGCTAATAATGCCCTAGCGCTAGAACATGTTCTGACACTCTCGGAAATCACAGTATTCTTAAAGACAAAATCATATATCTACAATATTCAGCATTTTGTTTTAACCATAATGAAACCCCCAAGGACATGTTGTCAAATAAGATGAGAAGAAGAAAAAGATTGCAAGTTTGCGTCGACTCTGGGCACAGTTGAATCCAAAGCCCTCAAATGAAGACCAAGAGGCCAGAGCTGATGTCCCATAAAGAACAATATCACTTCAAAAACAACACGAAATCCAAACAAGATTGCTGTACATAGTAGAAGCAGAGGGTTTCCGTGCATGTGATCCGCAGGTAATGGGGTCATGTGACTGGTGGTGAAGGGGATCTCACTTAGCTGATGCCTGAACAGACAAGCCACCACTGATTTCAGAGCTGCAGAGGATTTGGATTACAATAAGTATCAATAAAAAGTCATTGCAATTCTGAGACATTGTTTTCTCTTTCAGGAGATTTCACTTTTTTTCTTTTTTTTTTAGCAAAAATATCATGCAGTCCTTAGTTCCAAAAACCCCACTGTAGTGAGGTCTTGTGTTTGTTTCAGGAGGAAAAAGAAACTCAAAGCCTTGAAATTCTTCTTTCACAATTATTCTTAAACATTCAAGTCATCCTTTTAATACTTTGTACAGCAGAATGGTCCTTCTGATTTCACATGTGTATATATAAATATAATATATAGAAATATGCATATACATATGTTCAACTTGTATATGTGTATACATATTTTGGAACTGTATCAAAGCCAATTTAATGTGCTCTCAAAATATGGCCCATGATTCCTAGTGGGATGCACATCAATTCACATAGTACAACCAGTAGATTAGGTTGAAAAATCCAAAGGTGATAGGGAAAATGACCCGGGACCATTTGTCAATGGTGCTAACATCTGACAGGTTGGGGATTTTCAACTTGAGCTTGGAGGAGCGCCGCCGTAGCCGACAGTTAGCCCTGCTGCGCATGGCTGCGCGGTCCAGCGAGTGGTGGCTGAAGCCGTCCCGAGGCGCCATGGGCTTCCGGAATTGCACCCCGGAGCTGTCGAAGGACATGACGGAGTTCCGAGAGTCACTGACGCTGCTGCCCACGTCGGAGGGCATCACCTCGTTGTTCATCTCCAGTGTGGTCAGCAGGATGTTCCCGTAGGCATCCACCTACACAGGAAATGACATCAGCATTCGGACGGCGGGACAATACAAGAGAAGCCCCTCCCCCTTTTACTGAAACTACATTATACCCAAATAATTAAATTACAGCACAGTGCAGGGATGGTATGGGATGCATGCAACATAAATAGTTACCATAGAGTTTAAGCAGGCAAATATTAATAAATAGCTGATTGTACTGTGAGGGCTAGCCTACAGCTGATATTATTGCTAAATACATGTACCCCAACTTTTCTTTGTTCCTCGAGATACACATTTCTTCGCTGTGTATATGACCTGAAGGTGTTGGTTTGATACGGCACGGAAATGGAGTCCTTGCAATGTGAAAGAAAAAATGAAAGAACATTAAACGCCTATAAAAGCACATTTTCTATCATTTCACAGTGCATAAGACAGAGAGTTAACAAGAATAACTTTGACCATAGCATTTAGTGCTTCACACGTTAAAAACAAGGGCTTCATTCAGTCTGACCATTTGGAGGAGATTTTGGAAATTGCCTTTTTAATGGAGGCTCTGTCCAATTTCAAATATACATCTGGAAACATGAAGTGACAGACTGACTGAAGCCTACAGCATAAACAGAGACAGCCTAAATAAGAAATGAAAATGTTAACACCACTGTTGAGCTAGATGCACTGCTATCTTCGCTAATGAAAGGACTCTGCTCAGTAAAAAGCCAGTGTCTGCTGCTTGGGGGCAAAGCAATGGATGGTATTTGGAGTGTATTTAGTGTTGTGGTGCCATTGGTGCTGGTGCTGGGTGAATACAGGGGCCATATATGTGGGACTGTGGCTGGTGGTCCTATATACACATGTGCAAATCTGCTGTTTTGTGCTTTTGTGAACTGTGTATGCAGCATTGCAAACCTGCTCCCTCAGACGCTTCTCCTCATATCTCGTACGCTCGTTGTTGGATTTGTTCAGCCTCTCACTGAGCTTCTTCTGTTGGGCAGGACCCCGACCAAAGAACACGTAATTTACAAAGGCATATTCAAGCAGGGCCAGGAACACAAAGACAAAACAGCCCATGAGGTAGACGTCGATGGCTTTCACGTACGGGATCTTCGGGAGAGTCTCCCTAAGGTGGGTGTTAATGGTTGTCATGGTAAGCACCGTAGTCACACCTGGGTACAGTGACACAGAGACACAGAGGTTAGCACCAGCGACAAGGTCAGGGAGAAAAGCAATAAGGTCACGTCTGGAAATAAATCCACTATATGCTGCAGGATCCAATTACAGAAAATGGTCTTTTTGTGAGAGACTCACTACATCCACAGTCCTCTGAACGTCTGACACTGTTGACAGTGTGTTGTCGGTCATTTATACTGAGGGACATTCCCTACTGTTGACCACATGACTTTGGAATATTTAACTATATACAATAAGGCTGTGATAGAACTGTGAAAGAACTGTGATATAGATATTATTGCAATATTTATAAATACTTTTAGTTATAATAAAACAAAAAAAATTTACATGCTTTAATTTGAAACTCAAAAAAAACAAACAAAAAACATATATTAAAAAATGAATAGAGACCAAACCAGATCTAAATAAAGGCAAATATTGGACTTAATAAGGAACATCAGCATTATTTAGCTTTTTTTTTTGAATTTTATCAGATTGTTGCGACATATTTAGTATGTTATGATACTGATTATTGCATCAGTCAATATTGCGATATCAATACTTTTGCATATTGTGGGGTGCTAAAAGAAAACTACAGTAGTGAATTTTGTATGAATACTTTTAGCCTTTAGCATGCTGCATAAACCTGTAAAATCCTTAAGCGAATAGCTGTTGGTGTAATAATGTAGCTGGAAGAAATGCATCACACATCACTGCAGTCACTTGTGCCCTGCGTCTGAGCCACTGAACGCATAGTATTTCATTTTCTGTTTATGCTGAAACTACAAGTAAGAGACGCTGATAAAGGCTGATGTTACAAAATAAAAACTGATTTAAAGATTGTGATGTGTGGAACACCTTCATGAATGCAAAACCTTCTTATTTTACATCATTACTTGCTGCTGACAGGAGCGGTGTCCTAATCTGCGCTCTTAACACTTCCCTCTACTGCCTAGGCCCTAGGTCAGTATTGTTTAGATTGCTGTAGTTTGTCCGAAGCTAAGGAAAGAGTAAGGTTTAGTATACCCTACACAAGACTGGGCCTACACATACAATTTTGTCAGTAAACTAATCTAAAGGTCCTATATTAGATCAAATTTATTCTTGCTCATCAAAAACATACCCGGAGTTGTGTTTTGTTTCGTTCAAACTTGTTTGAATGAAAGGGTAACGAAAGTAATCCTGGTCTAATAGTTTGTCTACATCTCTAAAACTCAAAAAGCTCTTTTCCATCTTGTGTCATGAAATGGCATTTTTCAAGTTAACAAGTTAGTGAAAGTGTATGGAGCACTTCCGTATGAAGCACTTATTACCACATGAAATCACAAGGTGAAACAGAGTGTTTTCTGTTTGAGAGAAGAACTCACCCTAGATATGCAGGGTTTGTGTGTAAAAAGCACACAACACAGAGTAAATAGAGTAATATAGTCTTTTTAAATGTTTGAAATCTTATTATTCTGCATAATTCAAAGACTTAACAGAAATAAGGTAAGAAATCCCACGACAGTGTGTTACTTTCTTAGTCACTTGATCTCAGCAAAGTGTGCAAGCCCATGTGACGTACCCAGGGCCACCCGAGCGGCAGAGGCGTCATAGTTGATCCAAAAGGAGACCCAGGAGAGGATGGTGATCAGGATGGAGGGCATGTACGTCTGCAGGATGAAGTAGCCAATGTTTCTCTTAATCCGGAAACTCAGTGAAAGCCTTGGATATGAACCTGTGAGGAAGAGGAGGAGGAAGAGGAGTAAGAGGAGGTTTGTGACAGAAGCAGGGGAAACACATCAGGCAAAAAAGGGGCAGAAGGGTGAACGTTGGCACAACTTAAAGAGTTCCAAAGTCTGCACTCTGACAACGCATGGGGTAGTCATTTCTCCATTTGTTCAGAAGGAGCACTTAATTTCCCCAAAGCGATGGATTCCTTTCCAGGGACAAGTTCGATTCCAATTAAACATGGCAGAAAGTCGCAAACACGGCACATTTTTCTGCAAGCCCCTATCTCGGCAGGCAGCTCCCGCTCCCCTCTGAGGATTGTCACAGAGCTGTTGGCTTTTTCTTTAGCACTTTCACTGTCCTCTAAACATTAGCAAAAGGGCATTTAGGTGCATAATTGAACAGTGCACTCCTTGGTACACTTTGTGGGGGAAATATGAGCTGCCTAAGCACACATATTACAATAAGTGCCCTTTTGATTTTAGTCCGTAATTAAAACAACTACAATATTAAAATTCTGATGACAAAGGAATGTTTACTGCTACACAACCCATACACATTGACCCATGTGTAGTTAATCCCACGTAGCTTTCTTAACTTGCATTTTCATTTGATCAAGACAAGAATAAAGGGTGTAAGATCAGTCAGATGATTTGATTCTAAAGAGCTGTTCACAGTGGACTAGACAGAGACAAATGACCTCATCATCTCTGGTAACTTGTAAATCTTTGAATGAATCGATCCCAGAGTGTTCATGCGTTCATTGGCTGTAGACGCCACTCAGATCACCTGAGAACTCCTAATGCTTATAATGGCCAACTTAACTAAGAATTCAAACATTTGTAAGCATTTATTAATACAGTTCAATAATCTGTTACTGTGCTGAGTTGACTTTCAAATGGATATAAATTAACTACAAACTATGTAGAAAACAGAGACTACCCCTGAACTGAAGAGAGTCTTACTGGCCTTATTCAAGGTCTGATACTTTTTTTGTTGAGAAATAACAGTAGATGAAGCTGTATCAATGTATATCAAGTATAAAGAAAATATCTCTGTATATAGTTTTTTTTTTTTCCATTTCGTCTGTCCTGCTACCAGTGTAATAATTATCAATAAGGTATGATGCTGTTACCTGTAATAAAACGGACCTCCCTGGAGACCAAGCGTATGTCCACAATGGAGAACTGAGGTAACTCTAACTTGTCCACTCCGGTCACAGCTTTGTCCCCTCCTTGCCAGAAGAAAACAATGTCGTCTGTGGTGTATCCATCTGTTTACAATGAGAGAAACAAAATGACAAGTTAGTTCACACATTTTTCTGCAAGAGCGGATTTTGAGAAAATGGATAAATGGTGTTAATAAGAATACTTGAGCCACAATTTGATACTTGTCTTATTGTAGTATAAGTTAAAATAAGGTGCACTTTAATGTCCCCATAGAGAAATATGTCCTCGGTCCTCTTGACCCATCCTTCAATGTCACTGGGATAACCTGTCAAGAGCAGGGGACCCATCGCCTTAGGTGGAAGATTTTGCCTATTGTGCATGTTTTGGGTTGATGGGGGAAATCAAAGTGCCTAGAGGAAACCCATGAAGAGAAACATGCTCCACACAGAAAGACCAGGGCGTTAGATCACATGTACTATTTGGAGAAGAATTACTTGTATCTTAAACCTGTTTAAAGGTCCTAGATTACACAAAACTGACTGACTGACTGACTGAGTCACGTTATAATGTTATTACCTCCTCAAAAACAGACCTGGAGTTGTGTTTTGTTGCATTCACACATGTTTGAGTGACCCTTTATTATTAGTTTGTCTACATCTCCAAAGCTCATAATACTCTGTTCCACCTTGTGATGTCATGTAGCGGTAGTTTTCAGATACCATTACAGTTCAAAATTATCCAAATGATTCTAGTGAAGCTGTATAAAGTTTGAAAACCTAGAAGAGCACTTCCTGTATTATCAGAGGAGATCACGAGGTGGAACAGAGTGTTTTCTGTTTAAGAGAAGAACTCAACCTATATATGCATGATTTGTGTGTGAATGAAACAAAGTGCAGCCCCAGGTATGTGTGTAATGAGGAAACATTATAACAGAGATCAGAAAATAGCGTAATATGAGCCCTTTAATCACTGACCAATCCCCATCCTCCCCTGTGCTCACTACAGGACCAGACCACTGCCTATAATACCGCTTACATGGACGTTCATTAAAGTTCTTGCCTCAGAGTGACCACTGCTCCAGATTTATGTCACTGGGCTGCTATGCATTCAGCACATGGCAATTTTTCAGCACAAGAAGTGTGACTACATTTCCCATTGTCCCAAGCTTTCAACTCACTCAGGACCCAGGATTCATTACCATTAAATCTCAGGCAGAGGTTATAGGCTGTGGAAGTGTGACATTGTCCATGAAATTGAAACAACTGGCTGCCTAATCAATCACTCTGATGTTTAGTGCACACTGTTCCCATCAGCACGAACCGCTCCGTGTGCATATACAGCAAATATTCCCCACACGTTTTAATTCATGGCATATCCATATTTCATTGCTTGCAGAAGCCCCCCCAGGGACAATACAAAGCAGTTTTATCCCAACAAACGGGAATCACAAGTATCTGCTGTATTGAGCTGTCGTGGTGATGGATGAAGTGGTCAATGGGAATGATCACACAAATACAATTTTTAATTACAACAGCTGCAAAAAGTGATTTGTCTAAATTAAAGCAATGTGACTGTATGTTACAGTTTATAATATGTTCCTTATTTTAATTATGAGAAACTATATACTAGTATAATTATCATATGTTAATTATCTGTAAATACATTTGTTTACTTATGGAGATGAAAACTTGAATTAAATAAAAGGCTAATCATTTTTCTCATTATCATATTTAATAAATTATAGCCCAATCTAGCCCAAACTGACTCCAAAGACAATAATCTCCCATTAAATGTCATTATTTTACAAGTCTCAAATAAATGAGGTTGCACGCTTGTACTGCATCCTGCCCATGATTTCCAATGAGTGTGATTGACAGATGAATTAAACAATCACACAGTTTGTCTCAACTTACAAGTAAAAAAATTAACTAATCATAACCTAACCATTTTGTTATGAGATTACTGTCTGTATAAACCACTTTTTTGTATCATCACTGACCAGAAAAGAGAACTTTACTTTTGACAGCTAAGTCAGAGAGGTAATTTAAGACTATGAACTTTTTTTATTATCAACTATAAATACTCACAGCTCTCAATTTCCAGTGTACAGTTCTGTTCATCCAAGGGGTACCTCCTCAAGTCCATCATGCAGGCAGCTGTGGTCGTTATCCTAAAAAAGAAAACAGATTGAGTTAGTAACAGATTTTGGTAGCAACATTATGATAAAAACACTCAGCTAACATCTCATTTATCACTGCTGCTGCTCAGCCTTACACCTACGTACACAACTCTCCTCACTTCTTCTCCAGTCTCAAAAATGATTTATTCAAATGTTCATGAGAGACATATTTCTTTTTATGCGGATCACTAACCACTCAGTATATGGATGTGATTTTTGTCAATGTGCGTTATTTATGACCACCTATGACATATGCATTTCTGCCAGGTAGTATTATAAAAGGTGTATGCAGGAGTATAAGAATGTCAATAAATCTAGAAGGTCCCAGAATACATGTAGGAATCTTGTGGCATTTAACGGAGAAATTTACTGGTGCGGCACATTCTAGTAATTACATTTGTGCTGTTTGGACCAGTTTCCGTTCACTCACCCCAAATGCACGCGAAAGAAATCGTTTTTAGCTCATCTTTTCTGGGGCTACAGCGGCATGTTTGTATGATGACAGAGGGAGATTTTTACCCTTTAAGGAATGCTGGTCATGAATAAATAATGTAGTTTCAGTCAGAGTCACCAACGCTGTTGCAGTCTATGGGTTTACGCTGATGTAATAAGCAAACATGCACAGAACACAATGATAAAACTGTATCTTTGTTTTAAAATAGTCCTGGTAGTATGACACAAAATACATACATTTAAAGGGACCATATTAAGCTATTTTTTTTCTTTGTTATATTGTTTTCTCATCAAAAACATACCTGGAGTTTTGTTTTGTTTCATTCATACATGTTTAACACATAAACCCTGCATATTTAGGGAGAGTTCTTCTCTCACACGCAAAACACTCCATGTGGTGAAAAGGTAGCTGTTAACCTGAATACTACAACTGCATGATATCAAAACATGGCTCCAGGTTTTTGATGAAGTAACAGTGTTCTAACATGGCCTAAGCCTCGCAAGAGTAAATTTTGTTTAAATATTACCTTTAAGATTGGCATGGTTAAGTGTAGGTTATACTTGTGCATTTTATTTTGTGTATTTAAAGGGCCATAGTGCTAAGAATACATTGCTGTGAAAAGCTATCAAGATTCAATGTAAGCATTATGACTAACCATCTGTAGAGAACACTTTGGACAGCAGCCAGATGTTACAGCTATTAGCAGCGGTCCTAAACTCTGGACCCCCAGATGCCCTGACCACTCATTTTTCCTGATTAATAACCCCCCGTGAATAGTTGTATATGTATATGCATATGAAGGTGGGGTGGAGAGGCTGTTGATGCACATGGCTTTGGTCTTTGCAGCCAGCCCCGGGGCAGTTGTGGCTTTAGGCTACAGCTTGCAACGACCAAGTGTAAAGAGTGAATAAATAATGCAATGTAAAGCACTTTGGCTATGTCTTGAAAAGCGGTATATAAATCCACAGCATTATGAGGAATGGACAATGCACCCTAAACCTTCCATTACACAATCAAAAACACTACCACTACAGTTAAGCGGATAGCTATGAATGATTAAAGGTGCACTGCGTAACTTTTCTGGCAACGTTTCCATCACCTGCTTGTCTCAATGAAGTTGTTTTTGCTTTGCTTACAATGTTCCACACTATGGCATTAAATTGTTTAGAATCCAGAGCAGTCGATGGCAGCTCTGCCTGTATTTTTGGGATGATCTGTAGGGCCAATTTTTATTATTTTCCCCAATTTATGTCATTTAAAAGTATTAAAAACTCACCCGCAACCCTCTTCTACCACAAACCTATAAGAGAACTGTGTAGTCATGTTTTGTTCAGCTTTCTGAAGTGTTAATATAAAGCTTTGAGTGTTTTTCAATGCAACAAATTAACCAAAACAAAATATTGTCCTATGTTGGAGATTTAAGGCTGATAGTCTGTAGGCCAAAAACTTAAAATATTGGCCCACTATATATCTAATCCACAGAGATAAGTTTAAGTTTAATGCTGTACTGTTTACCAATCCAGAGAAACCAAACCTCTCCATAGAGACAAGCAGGTGGCAGAGTGTCCATCTGAAAAGTTACACAGTGCACCTTTATTAGCAAAGCCCTATAATCTCCCAGTTTAGCTCATGGTGTCACCAAGGATGTCAGTGCTCACGTCACAGAGCTGACACAGGCCTGCCAATGGACCTGTCTGTTGCCGTGACAGTTAACAAGGCGAGGGAGGACGGGTCATGAGTCCGCACAAGTCGGAACATCTCACAGCGAGAGGCCCGGGATTTGAAAATGTCAGCAGATGTAGGTCAGCAACTCTCCGTCCCACCAGAGACCCAAAATATCCTCTTTAGCAACACTCTCGTAATAATCACAACACAATATTATTCACTACTGCTTGTCTTGGTCATCGCTGTGAAGGTGTGAGACTTTACTCTGAGCTGTTAAAACAACAAACACTTGGTCCTAGTGCTAATTTTGAAATCCCATGACAATGAAAAAAAATTGATTTCACAATTAAAAGACAGTCCCATTGATTTTTTTCCCCTCTTTTGGCATTTCTGACCATGTGTTGTGCCAGCATTACAAAGCGTCTAATGTTGTGGAGGAGGATCTCACAAGCCCCAGACAGAGAGAGCCCAGTCAGTGAGTAAGAGTTTGGACACCTACACAGTCGACTTTTATGAGGTAACCAAAGAAAACCATTGTACTATCAACAATGCAACGCGCCTTTAATAAACAGAAACATGAAATAGGCAAATCACACAGAATGGGGAGACAAGAATGCCATCTGGTGCGAAGTTGGGCTTGAACAAACTCTGAGTGCTCCAAGGACCCAGGACAAGTGTGTACTAATGAGCATCATGAGGCCTTTCAACTGAGCATGTAGGGTACAAGAAAACATAGCCCAGGATACACCATGGGAGGAGAGTGCCACAGTACACTATTGATGTTTGAGGCTTTGTTTTTTTCCCAATACACTGTCATCAGACTAGTCTTCACAAGTCCCCCGAGTGCACTGTAAAAGCTATATTCAGTGGTTTTAGTTGGGGAAAATGTGGAATTTAAAAGCAAATATTGGTCATTAAATCTTGCATGGTATCTTGTGGTCTGTTTTAAAACTGAACTTAATCTGAGCAGAGCTTGGGGTTGTACAGTATTGTCACACCTCAGAGAATTTTCAGTTAGCCTAATGTTTAGCCAATGGAGATTTTAAGATGCTAAATACACAAATGTATTCTGACACTGACTGTACAGGGGTCCCTGGCCCAAAAGGAAAATAGCATATATCTTTATTTTTTAAAATCTACCACCATATCTGTGTTTTACTGCAATACTTAATCTGGTAAATAGCAAACCTGCCTGCAGTACATCAGTTTTTCAAAGTGTCATTAAGAGTTGTATGCATTTTGTGCTATTATTACTTGCCTCGCCCCCCTGATAATGTTTTATGTTTATCAGTGGTTCTTACGAGAAAAAAAAAAGGTTGGAGGCCTATAGTTGATAGTGATAAATGGTTTTACTATTAGTGACCCTGCAGCTTATCTGTTTTTTTTTTTTCTCCACTGCTCATCTCTATATCCTTTTGGCTAATGCATCTCTGTGGATCGTCTGAATGCTTGGACGCTTGTATACAAACTATAGACTGTATATACAAACAGATATAGCTAACCTACTGTGCGCCACTTTCCAAATAGGAAGTGAGCACGGGGGTGCTTCTGGCTTCATCGAGTCCAGCTCCAGTTGACTTTACATTGAAAAATCGTCACCCCTCTCTTTGTAACTTCTACAATAAGTCCCGTCATTTTGGTCTTAAAATGTTCATATTAACCCTTTCTACATGATCCTGGTGTTTTTATTTCACTATTTGTCTGTAAATAAATTCCTATTCCTAATATAGAACTCTGCTCCTAATTTGCTCCTATAGCTGCTAGTCCAATAAGATTAATTTGGTCCTCCGATATTTTATGTTATGAGGCTCTTATTACAGGTGGGTCACGAGATTTTTTTTGGGTTGCCTTGTCACAATCTGCATGTAGGTCTGCAATATACATATACATACATCTCTGCGCACACCCCACACGGAATCTCCTCACACCTTTCAGCAGCACCACCTTTCTAAACTATTTGCTGTGGGAAACACTGATTACTGTTTTAAAATATCCTCATTAATGTTCAATAATGATCACATATTTATTTTGTGATTTACGAATCATGTCTATTGACTTGGGTCATGAAGATTTGTGACTTCTTAAACATGGGTCCCCAGAAAAAAAGTTTGGGAAACACTGCTATAGTCCACTTCTTTACACAGTCTGTGATATAAACATGGCAATTATTGACGTTTGATCTCGAGCTCTAAGCTACTGCAGCCAAAAACAAATTAAAAAAGGGAGCCAGTGGGTCAGTTTTCTCTCTTTCACTTAAAACTATAGAGTTTAATCCTTTGTATTTACAGTCACCACTCCCTTTATTGTGTATAACTCTATTCTCAGACAGAGCCCTACAATCAGAGTAGTTTATTTTTGTAATGCATAGGAAATGAAAAAGCACATTGGTCCTCTGTAATCCATATTTGTTGATTCCTTCAGGTTTTAACCAAAAAAACTATGCAAACTATGATTTTTTGGACATTTTTCAGCACTATCTTGTTTACTCAAATACTGAATACGACATCCAAAATCCCTCTGTAAATATTTGTCTTAGTTTCTCATGCTGCATGGAATCCAACTGTATGACACTCTCATTTCTCTATATAAACAGGAAAACGAACTACCTGATTGCTTAGGGACAACCTGGAACCTTTTTCCCCAAGTTAAAACTCTCCAAAGACTATATAAATTTACCTAAAATCTTTTGCATTTTGCTTTGACTGATTGCAAATTTATTGAGCGAAGCTGATGTACCACATTTGACATAAAAAAAAGCCCGATCAACACAAATCTGCACAATTCAAAGATAAAAATCGCCGTAAGCAAAATGGGAATTGAAACTAAAAACTACAAATCCTAGCCTCAGCACATTTCACAGTGAGTAGATAGGTAAGGGTTCACAAAGCCAGCAAGGTGCAGCCGCCTGTGTAATGCAATTGTCCACAGCTTGTATTGTGCGGGCCTCTAACGGAGCACTTTGGGGGAAAACAGGAGGTCTTTACGAGGGGAAATTCATTGAAGTCAACAAAAACACCAAACGGCCAAACATTCAAATGAGTTGCTACATCTACTGCAGTATCTATTGTGGAGAAGAAAGGGGAGCCATTCACACAGGCCCTGGGCAAAGTCAAACATTTCAACAAAGAGGATTTACAGCGCTCCTCGTTTGCAGGAAGCATAATAAGGTTTGGGGAAAGCACTTTTGCATGTAGATTAGGTTCTAGTCTAATTAGTGTACAATAGAGCTGCAGAAGAGAGGAGAAATAAGCAATATCCGATGATTGTGTTAAATTTTGTCATAACAATATCACCGGCATTATTAGATGTTCTTCTTATTTTGCAATTTATTTATTCAGTTTGTTGTATATGTAAAGAGGGTCCTGTCCAGTGTTTTTAGCTGAGGTGGTCCAAATCTTAAGATTTAAAGGTTTTATATTATGTGAAATTGACTCTTGTGAGCTTTTAACCATGTTCAAATGTTATTACCTCACAAAAACATACCTAGAGTTGTGTTTTGTTTCATTCACATGTTTGAGTAACCCTTTATTATAAGTCTGTCTATATCTCCAAAGATCAAAATGCTCTGTTCCACCTTGTAATGTCAAGAAACGAAGTTAACAGCTACCTTTTTCCTTTAGTTCAGTAGAGATTGACAATTACAGGTCTGAAATTATCCAAATGACTCTAGTGAAGGTGCATGGAGATAAAAAATAAATGGAGCACTTTTTGTATTACCACATGACATCACAGGGTGGAACAGAGTGTTTTCAGTTTGACAAAATAATATTCAGGGTTTGTGTGAATGAAACAAAACACAACTCCAAGTATGCTGATGTGAGGAGGAAACTGCATTATAACAGAGATCAGAAAATGGCGTAATCTGCACAAAACTTTAAACCTTAGACCAGAGTAATTAAACTAAATGACAATAAAATATAATTGTTTTAAATTAGTTACACATTGATATTTGTTTCATCAAAAAACAATAAATTTACATTATATTTATTTCAAATACAGTGCAATAGACAGTGTCAGACTCTAAGAATAGACTAATGTATAGCTGCCCTCTGCTGTGTAGTTTACTGCAGCGCGATGCATTTGTATGAGCGATGAGAAACAGCTTGTGATAGTAGCGTCCCACACATATAGTACCAGTTGTCATGTTGACGGCAGGTTACCAGTTAAAGTGCAAATGCAGGTGTAATGCTATATTCTCTTTGGTGTGAGTCCATTTCTCTCCACGCACACTAGAGCCTCAGTGGAGGCTCCATAGAAATGCATGTGACGCAGGTGGTCAGGTTTATTCAGATCAGGTGTCCCAGTGCCATATCAGTCAATTTCTCCATGAAATTGTCCACGCACTGCCACCTGCTCGACAACAGAGTGGCTAAAGGGAAACAAAAGCAGTGAGCACCACCAGAATAACTGTGGCAGAATGGCTGTTCATCAGGAGCTCATTGGATACTTGTCCTGGTATCATCAAGACGGATGCAGAGGACTGTTCAAACGTGCACTGTTTTGCATAGAAGACGTATGATAAAGGGCTCGTGATCTAATATTGTTTTCATATGTTTGCTTTTATGACTCACTGCTACAATATCTGATGGCGAACAGCTAGTCTTTAAAGGTGCACTGTGTAACTTTTCAGCTTGAAGGTTTGTAACTTGCTTGTTTCTATGGAGATGTTATTGTTTTGGCTGAAATGTTCCATAGTAAGGCAATGCACTTATCTATTCAACTGATGCTACCAGGGTATTTTTTATATTTTTGAGCAATAAATACACTTAAAATTACATACATACATACAAGCTAGATACATCTAATGACACACTCCAGAATATTCTAGGCAAGCAATAACATCTGCACAGAGACAAACAGGAGGCAGATTTAGAAAAGCTACATAGTAGCACTTTAAGGTAGGATTCCTTGATGTTACGTCCATTTTCCTGACTGGCCAAAACTGCACTCTACTTTCCTTCAGCTTTTTTGTTTCAGAGTAAAACTTTGTAGATGGATTAGAAAATAGAAGATACCGGGCAGTCAGTCCATAGCAACACAAATAAAGGTTAACGTGTGCCTTTTATGCTAAATAGTTACTGTTTCTACCATTGTTATATGTCATGAAAATTTCCTATTCATGGTAATAACATTAAGAAAGACAGCCACATAACATGAGACTTTATAACTTGTTCACAAAGCCCAGCCTCAAGTCCTCCTGACTTTTTCTTGTTAGCGTGGGTAAAGGAACAAAAGAAGAAAGTTGCCAATTGCTGTAGATCAATTCAATTAATTGCTAAATTATTTATCAACGTGGCTGCAGCTCTCAGGTTTGTTCTGTGAAGAGAAAGGGCAGCATTAAACTCCTGAATACTGTTGGAGCAAATAGATATATGGTGATAAGAGGATTATCCTAAGTGATAATTGTTAAAAACATCTCTTCTAAGCTTATCCAATGACTTAATGCACTTCTGTTACAGCTGTAGTTACAATTTTATCAAGTCATTAATTTTATTTAAATGTGAAAAACAGAACTAGATGATTTTGCAGTGGTCCAAAGTTATTCTTCACTTACCTTATGCATTCTGAGCTACTATCTACCACAATGAGTTCATAAGCGCTTTTCACAACTCTCAGAGACCAGAGCGGAGTTTTTCTGTGATGCTAAAACTACTACCAACTAGCATGCTAATCAGCACTTTCTGATTATCAATAAAATGCTTTATAATTAAACAGACAGAGCTACTTTTACGATATATCTGTACTGGCACAAGACAAATTTTGCTCAAAGACATGGGAAAACTGCTTTAAAAATACTGCGATGTGAACTGATTTGTTTATTCTCTATGCTATGGCTTTTTATTAGGTTATTCTGCCAAATATTTGCACCACACTGGCAGTCTGACTGAAGTCTGAAAACAGATAACAATTCCAAATAATGTGCCTGAAGTGTGTGTGTCAACAGAGTCATACTAATCCAACATGAATCATGATATTTTTGGTGCTTTTAATGAGAGATTCATTTGAACTTTTGAAGCACAACAAAATAAGAGTGCCTATCACATCTCCTTTCGTGTCAGTACCAATTCAGGAATGTTAAAACTGATTACTGCATTAATAATTCATTATACTTCACATGATCCAAAGCTTGTCAGCACAGTTCCTTTTGTGCATGGAACAACACAGCGCTTTATTTACCTTTCTTTGACTGTCATTATTAGAGATTCAAATTTGTCTTATTTTCTCAGTCCCAGAGGATCTCAGTTGTTGACTGCCTTGTTTGTGATGCGAATCCAGATTTGATTCAACCTACTTTTACTATGACTGATCTTAATCTACCTATTAGTCAATTTCTGAACATTTATTTTTATTTGTCAGCTGCAGAATTTGACTATTTCTTTTATAAATAAACCCTTTTAAGTGTCCCAAATATTATTGTCCTGAATCCACCAGTGTTATAGCAAGTGTGGCAGTAGAAGGTCCTTAGCTGTCAGAAGCTGAAAAATATAAATGAGTACAAAATACAGGAAGTAGGTGTAGCGTCATGAGGCTTTGTTCGCTCATGAATCTCCATTGACTGTATGTTATATGGGAGCTATGGTGACAGGGCCTGTGTTTGTGCCATGTTCAGGGCTACGGCGATGAAGGAACGACATTTGTGTTAAAGAAGAACAATAGAGCCTGATGTTCTGGTTTTACTGAAGGAATGCCATTGAAAATCTGAAAGAAGCACATTTTTACTGACTGATAAAGTGCCTGCTTGTTGCAAGAAAACAGCAATGCTTTACTACATCAATGAAGAACGGTTTTATTAATAATGAATATAGTTTATTAATAGTTTATTAAGTATGATTCAGGCTTAGTAACTTACTGTACTTACAAAGCCTGACTCATTTTTAGTAAACAATTTTTCATTATGAATTAAGTAATGTTTCAGGCTTAATTCCATGTAGTTATTATAAAGAATATCCGTGATAAAAAAAAAATATATATATATATATATATATATATATATATATATATATATATATATATATATATATATATATATATATATATATATATATATATATATATATATATATATATATAAACCTAAATAAAATATAATCTACCAGTACATGTTTTAATATTTCATGGGGCACTGTTTTAAATAAATAAATAGATTTAAAAGGAAACAAAAATTAGTGAATTAGGCATTCAAGTAAAAAGAACACCCATATTTTCATATAGAGCAGGTCACTCACTGCCTGCTCTCAGCACTGGCAACATTTTCAAAAGTTTTAAAGACATGGTAGTTTGACAGTTAAATATGTCATCATGTTGTCAACAAAATATTTTTTTTAGATTAAGGGGTTGCTGGTTTAACTTCCATCTGCAAATGAACTGCCCTTATAATTGTATGTATAGTGAGTGTGCTGATGTATTACATTTGCTTTTGTGTGATTGTTACTGTTCTTTTCCCTGTCCTGTAGACTGTTTGAAATCAACCTGCCCAGAGAGTGAAGATGGAAATTAGCCACACTGACTATAATCTTTAAATATTTACATTTTAATATGCGGCCCCTTTACAAATAAATAAACAAGAAAATAAAAACCATATAAGGCTGAAATCCCAACAACTTCACCTCTGTCGTGCCCCACAGTGGAGACTGGAGCACCATCTGTGGACAGTGTCATATGAGGTTTTTAAAAATAGCTACATCTCTGTGACACGGAGCTCACCTCAGCCCGTACAGCACGGTGCCGTCAGGGTGCAGGCGGATCATGCGGTTCTTCACTGTCACGCCGTGCAAAAAGGACTTCTTGTCATTAAGGAAGTAGGTGTCAGGGAGCCACAGCTGATCTGCCACACGGTTATCCAGAGTCAGGTTCAGGTTCAGCTCGCCGTACGCCAGACGCTTGTCCCGCCAACTCTGCTGGAAATACATGGTGATGGTATAGTCCTGGAAGATGGAGAGAACTGGTTAAAATATGCAAAAACCTAAACAAAAAAGATACCCAGGAACTAGATCCCCAATTGAAGACACTGAAGATAAATACATATCCAGTGATTCCAATTGACTTTACATTGAAAAATTGTCACAGCTCTCTCTCTCTAACTGCTGCAGTGAGCCTCCTCCTTTGGTCTTAAAACATTCATATTAACCCATCCTAGTGTCTTTATTTCATCTGTAAATAAGTTCCTATTCCTAATATAGTTCCTATAACTGCTAGCCTCGTGAGCTTCATTTAACTAGAGTCAAATGCTATGGGTGACGTCACACTCCCTTAGTCCACTTCTTGGAATAAATGGAACAAAATTGGGGAAAAGGTTTTAGAATGGTCTTGATCCATATCAGAAGTACTATAAGTATATATATGTTATTAGTTTCTTTTTTCAGACCAAGAGTTTGTTTTCATACCTGACACTTTTGACTGCTCACTAGTGGTCATCCTCAGAGTGGTCACGTGGTGTTGCTGTGACGTGTGGCGCTGTCTTCCTACCGGTGGAGGCAGAATGATTGCGTATTTCTTATTTCGATATTTTGAAACGTGCCCACGGGACTATAAACCAGGATGAGGGGGCTATTTTACTCTCACAGACCTAGGATATTGTCCTGAGGAAGGTGGACTGCAGATGGCACTGTCATCCTGCCTCCACCAGTAGGAGGAGAGCACCAAAGCCTGTATAAATCAGCTGACTGGACTTGTCACAGCAACATCATGTGACCACTCTGAGGAAGACCACTAGTGGGCAGTCGAAACTGTCGGGTATGAAAAGAAACTCTTGGTCTGAAAAAATAACCTAATAACATAAATTATCGGAAGACCTCATTGGACTATAAAATAGTGCTGTATGAAAGACTATAAGATAATGCTGTATTAAAGAAATGTAGTTAATATGATTAACTGAGATTCAGGAGCAGGACCAGGCCTCAGCCTCCCTCTCCTCTCACCAGCGAACCACAACTCACCTCGACCACGCCTCTAATTTCCCAGAAGCCTATATGTAGCAGCCTTTCCCACCATCCCAGTTTGTCTCAGCTAACTCAACCCCACCATCCCATCCCCTATTTTGTTCATCTTTCAGTCATAAGACCCCTACGAGGGGGTCCTGTTCCGGCTGGGCCAACTGAAGATTGAGACGGAGCCCCCACCAAGAGTCTCAACCCAGCCATCTCTGCCCCGCTTTGTACATTATCAATAAACTTCTTTGCACTATGTCGTTGTTGGTGTGGTCCTAGCTAGTGAAACTACTATTATTTTGCTAGTGATTGTTTCTTTATTGTTTAGACTTATTGTTTGTATTAACTAGCAAATCTTTTTTCTTGATATTGATTTAGAAATTTTAGTATCTTGATAACACTAGTCTTTTTTACTGATGAAGCAAACAATACTAATACTAATTTCTAATTCATTCTTACCTACTTTGTACTACTATACTGACACTGCAAATATGTTAACATTTAGGTTTTAACAAATAGCTTTTTTTCACATCTCAGTGCCATTGTGTATGGATATTACATTGGGTTATGTGCATAGAGACTCATTCACCTTAAGCAGAATTGGTGGTTTTCAGATAATGGAATGTGGTGGTCATATTCACATATGGGTTGTATTAATTACATGGTATACTTATAGGAAAAAATCTAAAGAACACATTCACATATGTTGAGCCTGCTCATTTCCATTACTCATTCCATTACACTCTATAAAACTCTGTATAACAACCAAAATCCCAGCATTAACGTATAGATTGTTTGATCACCTGAAAACTCAGATGTAGTTGGACTGTATTATTTACCTATTTTAGTTTAGTTTAATCCACTATCAATAGTGGACATTCATATGCACATCTAAAAATGTTGTTTTTCTTGATGCATATGACAGCACCTGAATGCAGCATTTGGCTTGTCTTTGCAGTCACCATAGCAACTCTTCCCTGAGTCACAGGTGCTAATACAGATGTTGAGAAATTGAACCAGGAAATCTTTGAGAATATTCTGCCCACTTAAAACAAATACATAACGTGCTTGGGCCTTTCATTGGGATTTTTAAATAATAATTTAGACTGATTCAGCCACTGTCGCACTTCTCTGCATCTTAATATGTACCACCCAAATGTATTCAGAGAAAGTGGGAATATTTTTAAGAACTATGAATATTCCAGCATAAGCAGCGTCATTACTTTCAGATTGTCTGAGGTCAATTGATTACTGTGTAGGAATTACGGTGGATTGATATTTATGACATTGTGGGGGCTAAAAGCTGTATACACCCTAAATATATGGGAACCTTTATGGAGACGAAAAATTAAGTTCACGTAATATAAATCCTTCAGTATTAAATTAAGATTGAGCTTTAGGGACCATATTTTGCTATTTCCTGATCTGTTATCAGGTTGATTCTTCCACACCTGGAGTTGTGTTTTGTTTCGTTCACACATGTTTAATGCACAAACCCTGCACATTTAGGCTGATATCTTCTCTCAAACAGAATATAGTCTGTTCCACCTTGTGATGTCATGTGGTAATACAGGGAGTGCTCCACTGTGTTTACAAACTCCATACACCTAGAATCATTTGGACGATGTGAAAAGCTACATCACAAGCTGGAAGAGAGTATTTTGGAGCTTTGACACAGAGATGTAGACAGAGTAATAATAAAGGCTTACTCAAACATGTGTGAATAAAACAAAACACAAATTCAAGTATGTTTTTGAAGAGGCAATAACATTATAACATGGCTTAAAGCTCACAAGAATAATTTTTGTGCAATACAGGATCTTTATGATTAGGCAAGAAGGAACTATGGTTAAGGTTAGGATCAGTCTCCAGAACATGAATGTGCATCAATGTAATGTTTCCAAAAAGCACGGAAAACCAACATCTGTGTGTGTTTGTGTGCGTGCGTGTGTGTGTGACGAACTCTGCCACTCTGAGTAATATAAAGAGCCAGTGCTTAGAGACCCAGTGACGTCACCAGACACCAGCCATATTGCTTTCTTCTCTGCTCAGCCTGCTTCTCACCAGCCTTTGTGTTACACTGTATCTCGTGAAGTACTGTGGGAATTTGTGATAATCAGTTAGTCATTTCAATGTGCTTTCTTGTCGAGTGGGAAGTGGAAAGAACAACAGAGTTTGCCTTGTGCTGCGAATGGAGTTTTGTGTAAATAAAAACTATTGGTGTTATGTTGTTTTTTGTGTTTTTACAATAATGGGAATGGAAATGAACGAACAGCTAAAACTTTATCACTACTAAATTATTTTATTATTATTTATTATTTATTCATAATGTACAAATTGTTTATTTTGAATTATTCAGGCTTAGTAAGTCCTTAATTAATACCCTAAATCAGACTCCATATCCCTTAATTAACCCTTTAGGCGGCAGAGTTTTTTTTCCTAAAATGTTCGATTTTGACACCTTAATCCTGGTTTAACCCTGGTGTAGCCCTGGTAAAGTCCTGGTTTAGCTCTGGTTTAGTCCTGGTTTAGGCCTGTTTCAGTCTTGGTTTAGACCTGGTTTAGTCCTGGTTTAGTCTTATTTTCACCCTGGTTTAGTCCTATTTTCATCCTGGTTTAGTCCTGGTTTAGTCATATTTTCATCCTGGTTCAGTCCTAGTTTAGACCTTGTTTAGACCTGGTTTAGTCCTGGTTTAGTCCTATTTTCATTATGGTTCAGTCCTGCTTTAGACCTGGTTCAGTCCTAGTTTAGATCTGGTTCAGACCTGGTTCAGACCTGGTTCAGGTTGAATGAAATTTGACACCGTATTTGTCAAAATCGGCCAATTTATTCAGAGCAACATCTTGTCAACTCAAGTCGACAGTGGCGTCTAGATGGTTAAGAATAGTTACTAAACCTTTCATTTTAATAAACTTAAAAAATAAATATATTACTGCATAATGAATCAAGTCTTTATTTATGCTTTACTAAGGTTAATTAAGGTAAGGTAGCAGTTATTGTAAAGTGTAACTGAATAACAAACCCCGTTGATGACATTATGAGATGAGAAGAGTCGAGCTTTTGAACTTACCATGTTGACTTCTGATATGGAGTCTATGCTGGCTATGTTGATGCTCATTCCTACGATGACTGGAGGACCTGTGACAACAACAAACATACAATTAGTTTAAAAAAATAAATAAATAAAAATGCATACATAAATAAATAAAAACAATAATGTCTACAAATATTGTAAAAAAAAAAAAAAAAAAAAAAAAAAATATATATATATATATATATATATATATATACACACATGTTTTAAATTATTTTTTATCAGTCTATAGTTCCATAGATTCCATGAGCTTTAGCAGCTTTTTTAGCAACTCTTTATTCTTACGCTTGAAACACTGATCATAATGGGAGAGCTATTACATTATATTTTTCTGATTGATACTGTGAAGCTCAGTATATTAGAATAACATAAAATATGAATTACCTTTCAAAATGAATATTACAGTAATTTAGTTTTAGTACAGTGAGTTAGTTATCCTCATCATATACAAGTGTCATATACAAGATATACATTATGTACCCATGTTCCACCACATTCATGAAATATGATTTAAGCAGACTGCGACCAGCGGTGACAAAGCCAATGAGAATATTATGGGCAAAGGCAAAGTGCATGTGAAGATCAGTTACCCGGGCAGGCGCGCGTGAAAACATCGCAAGGAGTTTCTGGTCTGGCGGTTCACGGGGCAAATGTGCATGATTATACTACATAAACAGCTTTTCCCATGGACCTACTAACATGTACCGCGAACACTTACCCCAATGCAATATTCATACCACCAGGATTATCCATTCACAGACTAAGTGCAGAGACGACCGAAATTAACTCCACTTCTTGCTTATTTCACTATAATGTCACCATGATGCATTGCTAACCCAAACATAATTATACGTGTCAGCGGGTTTTTTATCCAAATTTAGGAGGTTTTGCCCTTTCCAATTGTGCGTTTTCGTCACACTGGGGTTAGATTGCGACTTTTACGGCTGACCAGCGCATAATATAAATTGCTGAGAAATGAAGCGTACAAAAGAACAAAACATAATCCACTGCAGATGTGTTTTCCATAGGACCCTCATGTGTGGCCATGTGTAATCAAGCACATCAGCACATTTAGAGGTTACAAATGCGCTTTGGTTAAGTCCCCACAGACCTATAATGAAATCACTATATGCCACATTACGGTAACAATTCCAGTGTATTCTTATAATCCTCTACAAAGGTGAAAAAATCGTCGAACTAGAAGATGGTAATGTCAGGATGGTAGGGTGGAGCAATTAATCAAATTTTAATCGAGATTGAGATTCTGTGTTTTCTAATCGGCAATGATCAGCTTTTTAATCATGAGGTCCACAGCCAATCTTCTGTCACTAAAACATGTAGTCTGACGCACTGTTCATTTTTTAGAGGAATAAATTTCACTTTTTTGTGTTCAATGGATGATTAAAAGTCTGTATTATTTAAGTTTTATTTTCCTTTTCCTTTCTCAGTGAATAGGCAATATATTGAAGCATGCTTATAAGATTTTGAATTGAAAGCACTACAGTCTAATTCTATTTTAGACGGTCGACCTATATGACAAAGAATAAACATGCATATCCTCTCTTGTTGAATTTGTACATATTTGACCCTACTGAAAGTACTTTCTCCTTTATTCTCTTGTCTTCTCTTTGATATGTTGAAGAATGAGGAGTACAGTGAATTTGATGTCTGGGTCGTGACGATGATGTTTTTTGGTGACAAACAGTTCAGGAGTCATAAGCGTGACTGTACATCTGTCCAAACAGCTCCAGAGTTCAGACTCACAGTGAACATGAAAAGTCTATACACATTCTGATGACTGTGTGGTTAAAAATACATTCAGATGACTTTTACACCAAAGCCGTTGATCTGCTCTCTGCCCTCACTAACTATAGACATGTCAGGAAGAAACATGCAGCTCAAAGTCTATCTTTGATTTCTATTCTATGCTTTTTTGAGACAACTATAAGACAATGAGAACAAAATGTTAAACTTATTTACAAGCACAAAGAATAAATCATTGTGTAAATGCGATTACAGCTGAATACTTTTGATATTGAGGTTAGTCACCTGCTTGTCTCCATGAAGATGTTTAGTTGCCTGGAATATTCTGGAGTATGGAATTCAACATATCAATATATATATATATATATATATATATATATATATATATATATATATATATATATATATATATATATATATATTATATTTATTATATTTATATTTATTTTTTATTTCTAACATTGTGGTCGATGATATACTATGGAACATTCCTGGAAATGCAGTAAGATCTCAATGGAGACAAGCAATTAGCAAATCCCTCCACCAGAAATGTACAAAATATGCCATTATCTGCAATTTACAAACTATGTATGTTTTGGATGGGAAAAAAGTCCTTGAAATCTTGCATATGAGAGGAAGCTCAAACCCATGACTATATAGGGTGTAAATATAAAATTCAGATAAAACATGCCAAGCAAGCTGAAAACACTGAAAACAATGTCAATAATAAGTCATGAATAAAAACAATATTTAAAACACCAAAGTCCTACTCAGCTTGTGTTCATTGTGTAGTGTTATTGCTGTTCTCACACAGTGTAAGACGTGGTCAATGTATTTTTGAAGGTATATTTTTTAAAACTGCGTAGCGTCTTCTCTGTTAAATGTGTATTAAGCAATGTGACAAATGTGTATCAGCTTTAAAGCATTCAAATACTGCCCACTTGAGTAAGACAGCTGATCACTGCTCTTAAACACTGTAATCCAATTTTCTGCCCTCACTCCACCCATAACAGTAAAACTCTAAATGCCCCAAGCTCTGTCATACTTCCTGACCCATCTCCTCCAAAAAATCAGGCCATTTTCCATTGCACTTCGCGAAGCAACCACTACGAGTTTTCCCCAGAGATGTCAGAGTACATTGGTTTGCTGAAAACAGACCCCTCCTCTCTCCCTCCTCTCCTCACTCTCTCCTTTGCTGCATATTTTGACCCCACTTTAGTGAAACAGAGGCACTCACTTTGTCACTGCGGCTTTCTCAAAATAAATCTGCTACCTGAACTTGCACTTCACAAGTTGGTGGAAAAAACACTCTTCGAAAATAACCTTCCACTTTTTAAATAAGCACTTTTTTCAGTGACATGTCAAATTGCATTATAAACTTTGCCAGAAATGTTTCATATTTTGCAGTGAATAATCGTGTTTTTAACATTTGCTGCGGTCACCTTTTTGGGAATCCACTTTTATCTGCACATATTTTATAGCAAACGGGCCTAGGGGGTACATAAAATAATATACAGATCAAGTAGTAAAAGTCCTGTATTTCACTAAATTGACTCTTGTGAGCTTTTCGTCATGTTAGAACATTGTCACGTCATCAGAAACATACCTGGTGTAGTGTTTTGTTTCATTCACACATGTTTGAATAATCCATTATTATTACTGTGTCTAAATGCTCTGTTCCATCTTGTGATGCCACAATGTGATGGTTTTGAAGCTAACAGCTACCTTTTACCTTTTGTTCAGTAGAGATTGGCTATTCCAGGGCTGAACTGAAGCAAATGACTCTAATGAAAGTCTATAGAGTTTAAAAACACAGTGGAGCATTTTCCATATTGCCAAGGAAGAACAATGTTTTCAGATTCAGAAAAAACTCTAAAAACCTAAAACTCCAGGTATGTTTGTAATGAGAAAACAATATTATAACAGGTCATAAAAGAGTGTGATGTAGGCCCTTTAAATAATGTTTGTGTAATAGGACATTATGACCATTATGTCAGATGGTCATAATGTTATGGTTAATCGGTGCACAATAAGTTAAAGCTTCAGGAATCATTAAACAATCATCCAGTCTTGTCACCTTATTGGGAAACATACATTAAGCAGTTTAATGACAGACATGCATCAGAACACGGTAATAAATAAATCCATTTGTAATTACTGAGTGATTATTAATAAATCCTGAGGAAACAAGGAAGCAAGGACATACAAAGTGCATTTATTTCATGCAAAGATGAGCAACATAAATTTGAACGTGTGTTGACATTTAATTAGCAACCCTGTGGCCATTTCACATCCGCAAACTACAAATGCGTTCAGTGTGGGGGTAAAATATAGTGCAATTTCTGGATGCGTTTAAATCATGGAGAGAGCAGCAATAACTTTGTACATGATACTGCATATACCATTCTGTAACAGGGTGAGGACATGAGGACCCTTGGTACTGTTTGAAAAAGAAATACTGTAGAAAAACATTCAAACAATGAATCAAGGGGGAAATGTTTAGTTTTGGAATGCTATTTGCACTATGATATGCTTTTAAATCGTTGGATTATTATGGATACTCGCCCCAAGCCACAGTCAATGGAGACAGTGAAGTTCCACTAGTTTCACTTTAATATTTGTTTAGCATCCAGTAACTCAAACCCTAACCAAGTTAATCATGTAGCTATTGCCAATTAATAAAATGATAAAGTTGTAAAATAATTTATATCTTGGTCTGGATGCAATGTTGTGGAGCTTCACTCTGCTAGCCAGGCTGGCGCCACCTAGTGCCTCCGCTCAATTTAATTTCTCTCCAGCAACTACATCAGGAATAGGAATACACTAGAAGGTTCGCAAAAACCCCAGATGTGCGAGTCCGAGCATCAGCCAATCAGCTAAACATTCTGTGTTGTCAACGATTCCCGAGATCAAGGATTTAAAGCCAAAACAAAGAGAATGTTTGGTGAATTTTATCAAGAGGAAAGACGTTATTCTTTCTACAGGATTTGGGAAAAGCTTCATATACCAGTTAGCCCTATTAGTGGCGCATTACATACATCACGACCAAATAGCAGCGATTGGTTACAAAAAAAAAGTACCCGCCTACCATCGCGTGGACAAATTCTAATGCTGCGAGATCAGACGGTTTCTACGAAGTAAAACTGGCTGATAAATCAAGCTATCACTCTGCAGCCAATGCGCCATACCTTCACTCCACACTGCACCTGCATCCAGACTCTCTTAAATGATTCTTCATTGTCATTAAATGATTTTACAGATATTGTTTATGTTCTTTTTT